GTCTTCCTCCATTAACTGTGAAACCCGGCCGTCTTTCTCGGAGCCACTCTTCCCGTCCTTGTTTACATTTCCTTCTGCACTGACCTGGCCGGGGGGATCTTTCGGTTTCGTGGCAGCCGTGGCGGGCGGCCCTTTCGGCTCTTGGGAGCTCATGAGCAGAACTTTCTCCATTTTGAGCATCTTGTTCCTCAGGACTTTGATCTCCTCGTCCTTCATGTTGTTCTGCTTTTTCACCTCCTGCAGGATGTCTTCCAGCTTGTCGATGTGGACCTTGAGATCGTCCACGTCGGCGATGCCTTTCCCGCTCAGCAGGAGATCCTCCATCTTCTCGTCGCCCACCCCCACCGTGTCCCAAACGTCTCGGGCCACGGCTCGCCACGAGTCGCGCTCGTTGGGGTCCTTCTTCCCGTACAGGGTGCAGAGTTCTTTCATCTTGACGATGGCCAGGGCTTCGATCTCCTGACGGGTGTGCCGGAAGTCATTGAGCGCTACCTCGTAGCAGATCTCCTTCACAGCCTGGATCTTGAGATCTGAAACGGTCACCCATCGGGAGTCCTTGCTGAGGCGTCGGCGTTGAGGGATCTGATACATTTTGATGGGCTCTCGCTTCTTGCCGCTGCTGGGGAGGCCGCATTTTTTAACAATGGTTTGCAACTTGCTGGGGGGCAGCTTCTCTCTCAGGGAAGTAATCAGCCGCCAGCTCTCCTCGCAAGACCGCTTGTCCGAATCATCCCCACTATCAGAGTCTGCATCCTTTGGGAAAAAAAAACAATCGAGAGGTGGCCCCAAAATAAACAAAATTAAAATTTGGAGAAAAGAAGGAAAATTCTGAACAAGAAAAAAAGAAAAAAAAAAAAGAAAGGACAACTCAAAATTAGGGAAAACGATTCAGGGAGTGAACAAAGGAAGGGAGTGAACATCTAACTGGAAGTCTTAAACTATCCCTAACCGTCTTCGGTTGATTTCTTTAATTCCAGACATATCTAAATTTTGTGGGATTTTTAATTCCCCTCCGAGAATATGCCAAGACATTCCCAAAATCCAATCCGTGTGAAACTCTTAGAAGAGCCAAAACCAAGTACCTGAAGAGAGGTGGACGTAACGCTTCGTGCTATTGGTGTGCCAAACATTTTTTTTTTGGCCTGGTTACAACCGCCAAGTTATTTCATTAGAGGGGTGGGGAAGAGACTCTTCGCGAGGAGTGATACCCGACAGTCATCGCAGAATGATCAGACGGACAGCCAAGGTTAGGTGGAGTTAACACTGGGTTAGTAAGTGCTGTGCACGTGGATTCAGACTGACAGTCCAGGCGACTAGAAAAGCAGCCAGAAAAAGGGTTAGAGAATCAAGAGAGAAACCAAGTTCAGAAGCAGCCACTAGCGTCAAGGTTAGAAACAGTGCCGTAACAGTGGTTAGAATGTTGGACGGAGTAAACCTAAGTTGAAATCCACCCTCCATCGTGGAAATTCCCTGGGCCAGTCACCCCCCACCACCCCGCCCACCCCCTCTATCTCACAGGGTTGGAGTTAAAGAATACTATGTGTGCCACCTGGAGAAAAAGTGGGTTATAAATCTGAGAAAGAAAACAATACATCGTCAAAAATCTTTATTTATTTATTTATTTGGGCCAGCCCAAAAAACAAAGCCCCCATTGGCCATGTTCTTTCCATTTGCCAGTGATTCTTGGTTTAAAGGCAGAAATGCCTTTCGGTTATTACAGATCATCCTAAAAGATACCCAAGCCTTTTTTTGGGGGGGGGAAGGGCGAGGGGGAGGAAGGGAATCTTGTTAAGGTTTTCTACCGTTCCACATCTCACTCTCATGCCTATGAACCGACCCAGAAGTTATGCCTGCCTGTTGCAAACTTCATGCTTTTTTTTTTTTTTGCAGTCACATAAAAATGCTTTTATATTAGTAAAATTGGTGAAGAGGTAAGAACAAAAAAAAACACTCCAAACAAGCTTTGAATAAATTTTCCCCAGAGGTTTCAAGAATTATTCTACCGTGCACCTGAGATTTAATCGGAAGTGTACTTATACGACAGTGATGGTTAACCTTTTTTGCCGTTGCGTGCCAAAAGCGGGGGGAGCACGAGGGATTGTACACGAGCGGGCCCATAATTCAATGCCCCACGAATGCACATGCGACCACCTCCACTTTTGGCACACGACGGCAAAAAGGTTACCGGTGGGTCCAGTAGGCCTGTTTTTCACCCTCCCCAGGCTCCAGAGGCTTTCTTGGAGCCTGGGGAGGGTGAAAACTGCCTTCCCCACCTCCCCAGAGGCCCTCAGGAGGCCGGAAACGTCCCGTTTCTCGACTTCCAGTGGGCCCAAAAGGCCCGAAAATCAGCTGGCTGGCGCACGCTTGCATACTGGAGCTGAGCTAGGGCAACACGCGCGTGCCCACAGATATGGCTCCGCGTGCCACCTGTGGCACGCATGCCATAGGTTCACCATCACGGTTATACGGGCTCGGAGTCAATAATATTGACCTAATTACTTAAAAAGGTATATATCTTCACCAGCTATTCCCTAGAGCAGGGATCTCCAATTTTGGCAACTTTAAGACTTATGGACTTCAACTGCTAGAATTCCTCAGCCAGCTTTGCTTTGCTGGCTGAGGAATTCTGGGAGTTAAAATCCACAAGTCTTAAAGTTGCCAAGGTTGGAGAGCCCTGCCCTAGACCATGCTGCCCAGCATTCCTAAAATGCCACAAACTGATGCCCGAGAGGCCCTGAATACTGCTGAAAGAACGGTGATGTAGGAAAAGTGGTCCATTACCATGAATTGTATCCTATGCACAGAAAGGAAGTTAGGAATGAAACTCTTTGATTGAGGTTATTTCAGCACTACTGATTTTTCTTTTTTAAATGTTACGTTAAAAATAAATAGCTACAGACACGTTTTTGTTAAAAGGACAGTCTTTGTTGGGGGTCCATGTTTTTCAAATATGCAAACAGGACAATTACAGTCGTGGCCAAAATTGTGGAAACCTTTTGGGAAAAGTGTATTTGCTAAAACTAGCTAATAACACCACTTTTTTTTGGGGGGGGGGAAAGTAGTACCATAAAATGATATATCAATGGAAAGATAATTTAATCAAGAATGTAATGCAACAACTTTTATGAAGGATTTGCTATTAGAATAGCAGTTACAGTATAAAGAAGAAAAGTGAAACACGTAGAAAAACCAAGATACACAAAAATGATCACCATGTCAGTTAATACTTAGTTGGGGAACCTTTAGAATGAATTACGGCCTTATAATGTCTTCCCATGGAGTGAACCGAGTCTTTTAGTTCTGCAGCTGTTATAAATGTGAAACCAAGACTGAATGATTGCTTCTATTAACTGGGTTTTATTGCTGGGTCGCTTCTGACTAACAGGTTCCTTTAGTTGGCTCCATAGATTTTCGATTGGGTGAAGGTCTGGGCTATTCCCAGGCCGTTCCAGCAAGTGGAATAGGATTATCTTGAAACTCTCCAAAAAAAAAAAAAAAAGTGGTGTTATTAGCCATCAAACCTCAAAAAATACACTTTTCCCAAAAGGTTTCCACAATTTTGGCCACTAATTTAGATTCTTATCAAAGTGGGGAAAAAAAGGGTTTTTTTTTTTTTTAATTTGATTTATATGCCGCCCTTCTCCGGAGACTCAGGGCGGCTTACAATGTGCTAAGTAATAGCCTTCATCCTTTTTGTATATTTATACAAAGTCAGCTTATTGCCCCCACAAACTGGGTCCTCCTGGGTTGGGGAAGAACCCAATGATAATGATAACCAAAGAGACTACAGGTAGTGTTCGACTTACAGCCACTTGTTTAGTGACCAAAGTTACAACGGCATTGAAAAAAGCGACTGACGACCATTTTTCACACTTATGACCGTTGCAGCATCCCCATGGTCAAAATTCAGACACTTGGCATCTGGGCATGTATTTGTTCCCCTTTTGAGACCTTCTGACAAGCAACATCAATGGAGACGCCAGATAGCAATAGCCCTTAGACTTATATACTGCTTCATAGGACTTTAGAGCCCTCTCTAGGCAATTTACAGAGGCAGCATTTTGCCCCCAACAATCTGGGTCCTCACTAGACCGACCTCGGAAAGATGGCAGGCTGAGTCAATCTTGAGCCGGTGAGACTCGAACTGCTGGCAGTGGGCAGAGTCAGCCTGCAATACCGCATTCTAACCACTGCGCCACCCTGGCTCTTAAGATCCACTTAACAAGCCTGTTACTAACTTAACAGCTGCAGTGTTACACTTAACAACTGTGGCAAGGAAATCCTTGTAAACTGGGGCAGAACTCACTGAAGAACTGTCTGGCTCGGCAAAGGAAATTTTGGGCTGAATCGTGGTCACAAGCCGAGGACTATCTTATACGCTCTTTTCACAGGCTAGGCAGTTGGAAACCTCCTTTGTAGGTTTCCTCCTCATCACCTTGTTTGAGGGAGGCGAGGAATTTTTGTGAAGTCCAGCTATGTGATCTGTCCCCCCCCCCCCCCGTCCCCGAAATTCTCCCTCCCTCATGCATGACCGTTTCTCTTGCTAAGGATTCAGACTCCATGCAGGGCAGGGCAAAGACAGAGAGATTAAAGGCATGCATCACCCACAGCCGTCATTCTGGAGATCCTGGAGGGAAGGGGACCAAAACCTGGCAGGCAAACGGATCTAGGGGCCTCTCTTCCGGAGGACCCAGTTAGTAACTTGGTGACTCTTTAAGAGCCATCTCCACCCTCATGAGGAGGAGTGGCAAGGTCATTTCAGAGAGGTCTGGAATTGGGGTGTGAGGTGCGGAGTAACAACAGATCAAGCCTTTTTTTATTCTGTCTGTTGAAGAAGCTCAACTCCGTGTTGAACTGGAGTGAGAGAGAGAGAGACCGACACATTGTCTGGTAACAATGTAAGACTAAAACAGCACACTTAACAGCCAAAGGGCAACTAGCTCTGGGAATCAGCAGAGAATCTCTCTTAAAATTGGCCTGGGTGGGGCAGGGACACCTACCAGCCTCTGCTGCTCCAGTAAGAGATCCGCTTCTTCCTTTTCCTTCTTGTACAGAATCTCCATCTCTTGAAGTCTGCAGAGAGATACAGGGACTGCTTAGTAGGGAGTCCTGGAATTGCAGAGCCGTTAGTCTAACCACCCTTCGAAGTCACAGAGGCACGGAAAAAAAACGGGACTTAACAACTTAGGACAGTGATGGCGAACCTTTTCGGCACCGAGTGCCCAAACCGGAACACGCGTGCATGTGTGTGTGCGCGCCAGAGTGCCAGAAACCCGAAGCCCACGCATGCATTTTTGGCCGGTTTTTTGGCTGTTTTCAGGCCATTCTTTGGGCTGTTTTTGGCCGAAAAACAGCCTATTTTTTTGGGCATTTGGGGGGGGGGGCATTTTCAGACCCAAAAACGGCCTGGAAAACAGCCCCAAAAAACGGTGTGAAAACAGCCTGGAAAATGGCCTGAAAAACAGCCTGAAAATGGCCCAGAAAACAGCCCCCAAACCAGCCTGTTTTTTGGCCATTTTCAGGTGGTTCGGCACCCGCAAAGACCAGCTGGCCGGCCCGGTAGAAAAGAAGAGATTGAACAACAATTAGTCTGAAGTGGTATAGGGTCTACTGCTCGAGCAGGGGGTTGGGCTAGAAGACCTCCAAGGTCCTTTTTTCAACTCTGTTAATTTGAATTTTATCTGTTGCTCTGAAGACGGCTTGTATGATGTTCCAGTTCAAAGGGATTAAATGCTCTGCTTTCATTTCACGGGTGATAAAATGCAGATTTAGTTTGGTTTCACCTGAAAAGCCTTACCTTTTCTCCATCTCCTGCTTCATATCAATTCCCTGTTTCTCCAGCAATTCTCTCTGGGCAAAAGTCCAGTCGACCGGTTCGGACGGAGTCTCAGCCGAGGGCGTCTTCTCTCTTTCAGCCCTCGCCTGCTCAGGGTGGTTGAAGCGAAAGACGTGATTTTTGCCCATAATAATGCGATTTCCTGGAGGGGCAATAAAAGAGGTTTTGGCCAAGGGTCGTTTTTGGAGAAGGACAAACTCAGGCAACCAAGTTTCCAGGACAATCAAGGGAGGTGGATGGGAGAGTGCATGGTCGACCTCGGGTGTTTCTCAACTTCGGTAACTTGAAGATGTGTGGATGTCAGGGCAATGATGATTTAAAGCTGACTAGCCACTGTAAGTTTAGTTAATTTAGTTTAGTTTAGTTTAGTTTATTGGATTTATATACCGCCCTACTCCCGAAAGACTCAGGGCGGTGAACAACCACAAAGTAAAATACATATATACAAAATTTAAAAGCTGAATTAAACCGAATTAAACAGTTTGGCCCCAGACAGAATTAAAACACCCCAATAATTTAAAAACAAATTAAAATTTACATTTTAAAAGGAAAAGGGGAGAAAATGAAGATTAGGCCAGGCCAGCTTGATGGAATAAAAAGGTCTTGAGGGCGCGGCGGAAGGTGTGTAGGTCCGGGATCCTCCGTATCTCAGCTGTGGACCAGGATAAGTCAGCAGGGTTATTGCCGCTTTCAGACTGAGGATGAGTCAGCAGGGCTACTGCCCCTTTAAGAAGTTGTCTACATAAGGGAGGCCATGAGAAGGCATCTCCCTCTCTCCTCATCGTGTTCCATCTGCATTGTAGCTCTTCGTGTAGAGTTGAAGATTGATTGCTTACCTGGTATGTGCCTACCACGTGTATGTCTGTATATAGAAGTCTTGTATATAAACCCACTGTTTGTAATGACAAAACCTCTGTGTCCTGTGTTTTGTTCCTAGGTTGTCTCAAAATAGTAGTCACACTGTAAACACTCTGACAGTAGACTTCAACTCCTGGGAGTTGGCGTCCACACATCTTCAAGTCACCAAGGTTGAGAAACTCTGGTCTATATACAGAAGGACCTCAATTCAATGCCCAATGGTTATGAAAAGGCTGCAAAGCTCTTCCCAATGACTAGCCAATGCTAATAATGGTGGACTAGATAGCCCAGCACCCACATCCGGAATAAAATAATATCCTGAGCTTAAAATGAAGCCGGATGGTCAGGCATTCAAGACACATTTCATTTTGCTTTGCTTTGTAAAAAGAAATCCTGGAAGAAAATGTGCACATGGCTGGAAAATATCACAAGACAACACATAGATTTGAAACCGAGACACTTTTGTTGGGCAAAACTATAATAAGGGAAACTATAATAAGGGTCACGCATATTCGGTTTTACATATCCTAACAGCAGCTAGGATTGATATGCACAATGTTGGAAAAACCCAGAAACCCCTGCAGATGACGACATTATTATCCAAAAAAAAAGTTCTGGAGTGTGCAGAGATGGACAGGTTAACCCTAAACATTAAAGGAAAAGACGATTCGGTTTATTTTATAACACGGGAATCATTTTACAAACGGTTAAATGACAGATGTTGAGGTTAAAGGTCTACACGAGAAAGAAAAACAGACGAGCTATTATTTTGATGGTTATATAATCGATACTCTGATGGAAGATAGTATATGTTTTAAAGATGATTGATATTATTGCATATTTGTTTATACATTACCATATATTGACATACATACATACATACATACATACATACATACATACATATATTTTTTTTTTTTCCTGAGGTTTTCGCGGGTGTTTGTATGTAGGTCTTTGGTTATTCAGGTTTTCTCCTGCGTAAAATTGGAAGTGTCTTGGCAACGTTTCGACGAAGTCTCATTCGTCATCTTCAGGCTGTTATTTTCGGCTTCATGCTTCTAGGAGCACGAAGCTAAAAACACCAGCCTGAAAATGACCAAAGACAGACAGACAGACAGACAGATATATATATATGATTATAGTGACGATGATGTTGTTTGTATGTTAACGCCATGGACACCTAGAGAACGCACTGCTCAATATAGAAATGGAATGTATGATAGGCAACAATAAAAAAAAAAAGACGACATTTCCTCATGAAGAAATAGATATTTTTACCTGAACGCAGCTGTACCGGCTGTATCACCCTTTTGCCATTGACGTAGGTTTCTGAACATTCACATGGTTCCAGGATAACAATGACTAGAAGCAGAGAACACTCAAGTCACTGTCTGAACGGTTGATGAGAGATCCAACATATGTGAAGGACAGAGTCGGGGGAAGGTGGCCGGGAGATTTTAATACAGGGGTCCCCAATTCCCAGGCCATGGCCCTTGCGGAACCGGGCTGTGCAAGTGGCGGGCTAGTGCGTGCATGTACATGCCAACCTGTTGCTTGTATAAGTTCAGCTGTGTGCACGCACACATTCGCCAGCAGCCACTCACACAGCCCGGTTAAAAATGGGCCATGGCCCGGTAGTGTGCTGCACCCCGGGGATTCGGGACTCCTGATTTAAAATATCCAGGATCCACCTCCTGCTTACCGCTGCCGTTGGGGTTCCTCTCGCTTCGGAAAATGCAGTGCTCCTCTTTGATATGAGCCCCACTCAGGACGATGTCTTGGCGCCGTTCGGCATCCGCCTGACCAACCCTGTGTCCGAAAAAGAGAAGCTGTAAGGCAGGGGTCACCAACCTTTCGGAACTCAGGGACCACTAAATTCATAATTTTAAATCCTGCAGATCACTAATACTATCTGCCTAATGACCGGCTGGGTGGGCGTGGCTAGGTGGTCACGTGACTGGGTGGGCATGGTCAACTCGATGTCATTCACATTGAGGGGTGCCTCGACAGCCTCTACTCGCCCCTCCCCTCCCAGCCACTCCTTGCCTCCCCGTCCGGTTTCCTTAGGAAGCAGTTGTTGGAGCTAAGCAGCCACCATGAGAAAGAGTTGGCAAAACAGCTCAGTTCAAATTGGATCTGACCGATCTGACTGAGAAGGAGGCTCAGCAGAAGCACCTCACTGAGGACTAGGAGCATAGGCTTTCCAAGTAGAGAGAAGACCTGCGGGAGTGCAAGGCCAAGTACCGGTCCCTGGAGGCTCAGCGGGCTGAGATGGTTAGCCAGTTCCAGGCCATGATGCAGTCCCACTGGAACAAGACCCTCCGGCTCTTTGCCACCAGTGGTGCTTCCCTCCAGCCTTCCCCGAAAACCCCACACCAGGAGGCTGAAGCAGACCCCAAGTCGGAATTTCTGCCCCCCTCCGACCCACAGAAGAAGACCCCAAAGTGGGAGACTCTCTGCAGCAAACACAAACATTCATTGCATGTATCCGGCCCAGGGGCCATTGTTTGAGGACCCCTGATTTAGTGCAATATAACAAAATGCAAATAATTTTTCTGCGGACCACCAAAATTTTCACACGAACCACCAGTGGTCCACGGACCACCCGTTGGCAACCGCTGCCCTAAGGCACTGTCACAGCTTCTAAAAACAGGTAAACTTCTCTGCTCCAAGCCACAAATGCAAGGCGGGATCAAAAAGAGTTCAGATAGTACCGCTTACCTAGTTATGCCATCTTTGATGTAATAAAGCAGGCACTCTGACATCAGGGGGTCCTCGTTCAGGTTTACCAGATGAGGGGTCTGAAACAAACATAGCATTCCTTGAATGACATGCCCTCTTCCCCACAAGGGCTTCTTTCGTAGAAAAGACGGCAGTTTCAAAATCCAAAGCTGCTTTGGCCCCTCTCAGGAGACAAGCCATCAATTCTTGAATGAATGAAATTTTGCTGCAGTGCAGGAAGAGAATGCTAACAAAGGAAGGATATTTGTGGGCTCAGGGTTGAAATGAAGGGGTCCTCGGTGTGCTCTGAGCTGGGTTGTTTTCCTTTTTTTTAAAATTTGATTTATATGCCGCCCTTCTCCGGAGACTCAGGGCGACTTACAATGCGTTTAGCAATAGCCTTCCTACTTTTGTGTATTTTATACAAAGTCAGCTTATTGCCCCCACAAACTGGGTCCTCAATTTACCTACCTTAGAAAGGATGGAAGGCTGAGTCAACCTTGAGCCTGGTAAGATTCGAACCTGCAGTAATTGCAGGCAGCTGTGTTAATAACAAGGTGCTTTAAACCACTGTACTACCAAGGCTCTTCATTACTCCAACTCGATAACATCATCGGTGCTAAAACTGATGATATCACCTAGTTTGGTAAAGAAACGTCTGCAAGAAAACAACCAAGCTCAGAGTGCACCAAGAGAAGAGCGTCCCAGGAAGAACAGAAGCATCAAAAATCCTTCCCGCTGTGGGTTCTGTGGGATAAACAGTAGTTATTTGAACATGTATTTATTTTAAAGGGAGATGTTTGGTGAGTGACAGCCAGGGATAACAGGTTCTTCAGATTATCCTAAATTCAATAGCTGCCAATTTTTTGGAGTATAAGACACTCCAGACTATAAGACGCACCTACTTTTTTGGGGGAGGAAAACCAAGAAAAAAAAAAAATGTGCCTCTGCCTCCCAGCAATTTGCCTCCTTGCAGCAAACAGCCTGTTTCAGTTTCAGCACAGCCTGATTAGCACAAGAAAAAAAAATCTGCCTCCCAGCAATTTGCCTCTTTGCAGCAAACAGCGGAGGCTGGCGCGGCAACAGGCAATGGGAATCCTTGCAGCCTGAAACAGCTGATGGTCGGGAGCCAATCCCAGCTGCTTGTACTAATCAGGCTATGCTGAAACTGAAACGGGCTGTTTGCTGCAAGGAGGCAAACTGCTGGGAGGCAGAGGTCAAAGGGTGGGAGGGGTTACATTCCGTGTATAAGATGCACCCAAATTTTCACCCTCTTTTGGGGGGGGGAATGCGTCTTATACTCCGAAAAAGACGGCATTTGTTTTCTCTCCTCTTTCTGTGAGAAATACCTAATTCTTCAAAAGGGGAGCAGGAACTGGAGAGGATGAAATGATTTTTTTTTAAAAAAAATTACTGGACACTTTCACCACTGAATCAAAAAGTTAGGAGTGCGTAGTTCATCTCGTATGGAAATAGCTAAATTGGGGAAAATGCTCTCAGTTGATTTTGCTGGGAAAAATAAATTGTGGAATTTCTACTGAGCAGCTTCTACAGAGCAACCCTTTCGCGGGTTAATGGGATCACCAGCGCTTTCAAATCACGGCTTTTGCTGGAAAGTCTCAAGAGTCTATTTCCTACAAACATTCCTAATGGGATCTAAAGCTACTGCAGGTAGTCCTCGACTTACCACAGTTCATTTAGTGACTGTTCAAAGTTACAATGGCACTGGGGGAAAATTTGATTTCTGACCATTTCTCCACAGTTACAACCTTTGCAGCAACCCAAGGATCAAAATTCAGATGCTTGGCAAACTGGTTCGTGTTTACGACCACTGCAGCATCCCCGGGGTCATCCGTTTTGCGACCTTCCGACAAGCAAAGTCAATGGGGAAGCCAGATTCACTTAACAACCAGGTTGCTAACTTATCGACTGCAATGATTTGCTTAACGACGGAGGCAAGAAAGGTTGTAAAATGGGGCAAAATCCACTTAACGAATGTCTAACTTAACAACAGAAATTTGGGGACGGGGTGGTGGTGGTGCTAATTGTGGTCGTAAGTCGAGGACTACCTGTACAGCCACTCAACCAACCTTCTTTGGTGAGAACACCCCACTGGAACCAGCCAACAAATCACAAGGCGTTGGCGTGAATATCTGGCCAACGAGCGCCAGTAAACACAGAGGAAAAAGAAAATATTAGAATAAGAGCACCCATCCCGCAGCTCTAGCTTGTAAACTAAGAGCAGTTTCTCCTTAGCTACAAGTGCTACAAAACTACAAGAGGTGAAAGGAACAGATTAACAATGTTTGTTTGTTTCTTCGTGACGGAAGCATCACAATTGAAATAAGGAATAAAGGTAAAGGTTCCCCTCGCACAGACGTGCTAGTCATTCCCGACTCCATTTCAAAGCCGAAGAGCCAGCGCTGTCTGAAGACGCCTCCGTGGTCATGTGGCCGGCAGGACTCAGCGCCAAAGGCGCACGGAACGCTGTTCCCTTCCCACCAAAGGTGGTCCCTATTTTTTTCTACTTGTATTTTTTTAAGCGCTTTTGAACTGCTAGATTGGCAGAAGCTGGGACAAGGAATGGGAGCTCACCTCGTTACGCGGCTCTAGGGATTCGAACTGCTGAACTGCCGACCTTTCGATCGACAAGCTCAGCATCTTAGCCACTGAGCCACCGAGTCCCTAAAATAAGGAATACTATGTGACATGACATTTAAAATATAAAAGACAAGATTAAACAGATCTTGCCCAGAAACTAGGGATATTAATTGTATTCTTTCACGCTGCCATGAGATCCTCAAGTGTACACTGATCGGGACATAACAGGCAGGTGTATACATGTGTGTTGTTGTTTGCATGTCACCACAATCGCAAAAGGGACAGATGCCACCGGATAGCCCCATTTGTTTAGAGTGTCTCTAAATCTTGTGGTACCCCGTGAGAGATTGCCGACGGGAGACAGGGAAGTAACAGCTAACCAGGATGGATGAAAAGGGTAAAGAGGAGAAGGATGAATTCACTCTATTCTACTTTTCACAAGCTGCAGTTTCTGCTTAAGCCTCGATGTCGGCACAAAGACAAACCTGGTCAACCGCAAAGGTATCAAAAGAGTCATCAAACAAAGTTGATGGTCTCTGAGAGAAGATCTACAAAGGAAATTCAGACGATGAGAGAAAGAGGGAAAAGAGGGCTTACTTAAGGTGACGATGAGACAATCATACTATAGTGCAGTGATGGCTAACCTTTTCCGGACCAAAGGTTCCAAAGCCCCAAAATGCAATGCGCGCGCGGCCCCTGCACGCGGCCTGCTCCCGTGCATGCGTGCGGCCCCCGCAGATGCATGGCAGAGACCTGAACAGCAGCTGGCTGGCAGGAGATGCGCGCATGCACAGTGGAGCTGAACTGGGTCGACAGCTCACGTGCCATCAGAGGGCGCTGCGTGCCACCTCTGGCATGCGTGCCATAGATTCGCCATCACGGCCATAGTGCAATCTTTCTCAATCTTGGCGACGTTAAGCTGCGTGGACTTCGATGCCCAGAATTCCCCAGCCAGAAAAGTTCGGCAAGGTTCCAGAATCTTATCTTCGACCTTAGAATATCTGCTGGAGCCTGGCCCAAATGGGAGTCACAAAGCTACAAAAATTAACTACCGTGGGGTTGAAAAATAAAATAAAATCAGACTTTGAAGTGGTTCGTGGAACATTTTCTGAAGAGCTCTGTTCAGCATCATTTCAATTCAGAGCCTGCCTTCAGGACATCAAGAAAATTAAGGTGCATACTTTCTGCTCTTTTTTTATTATCATACTGACGTATTATTTTTATTGTCTTCCTTTAACAGATTACAGACAGATTTAACCATTAATAGATTAACAGAGTTGGAATGGACCTTGTAGGTCATCTAGTCCAACCCTCCACCCAAGCAGGAGACCCTACACCAGGGCTGTCAAACTCCCGGCCCCTGGGCCAGATGCATCATGTGCTGGTCACGCCAAGTTTAGCGAAGGGGAAAAAAGTCCCGATACGTCATGTGACACAGCCGTGATGACGTGAGTTTGACACACCTGACCTACACCATCCCCGACAAATGGCAGTCCAATCTCCCCTTGAAAGCCTCCAGTGATGAAGCTCTCACTTCTGAACGCAACTTCTGTTCCATGGGTTGATTGCTCTCTGTGTCAGAAAATTTCTCCTTATTTCTAGGTTGAATCTCTCCCTGATCAATTTCCATCTATTCTTCCTTGTCTGGCCTTTAGGTGCTTAGGAAAATAGATTATTTAAGGTGCTTTGTCATTGCTTATTTTATTGTTCTATTATTTAACTTCTGTTCCGTTTACGCACCTTTCATTTTTCTTCCTTTATTGCAAGCAGCCTCGAATAGCCCCCACAACAAGACAGGTGGCAAATAAATTTGACAAATAAATACATTTCTGATATCCCACCTACGGAAAAGTGTACGCGCTTCTAAAACGATCGTTTTAATCGATACTGTCGTTTTAACTGAAATCATCTCGAAACCGTATTTCCAAAAAGTGAGACGCAGGCAAGCAGCGAGTCGATCGCAGCGCTACCATTTCTGTAGAACTGTTGGACCCCCATCAGTGGTTAGGATCCCCACATCGTCTGAAAGAACAGACGTGAAACCGTTTTACGGCACTACCTACCTTTTTTGGTGAGAAGACGCCAAGGGTGCCTCCATCTTCTCGGATGGCGACTCCCATCTCAGCTAAGAGAGCTTCTCTGTGGAGAAGGGAACAAGAAGGTGTGAAGAATTCTTCGAAAAACACACTTCAAATTCGATTTCTAAATTTCAGCAGACGTGGGAGAGAGGAATTTAGTTTTCCTTTAAGGGTGGGGAAACTGCACAGCACAGGACGAAGAAACAGCAGGAAGAGATGGTGTGCTGAGATATAAATTAGAAGTGACGCATTTTTAAAATTTCCCCCGTTTTTACAAAATGTGTTTTTGATTAGAACCATGGTGGCGCAGTGGTTAGAATGCAGCATTGCAGGCTAACTCTGCCCCCCAGCCAGGAGTTTTGATCCTGACCGGCTCAAGGTTGACTCCGCCTTCCATCCATCCAAGCTTGGCAAAATGAGAATTCAAATTGTTGGGGGAAATAGGCTGACTCTGTAAACCACTTAGAGAGGTCTGTAAAGCAGTATATAAGTCTAAGTGCTATTGCTATTTCCTTCCTTCCTTCCTTCCTTCCTTCCTTCCTTCCTTCCTTCCTTCCTTCCTTCCTTCCCTCCCTCCCTCCCTCCCTCCCTCCCTCCCTCCCTCCCAGTGGTTAGAATGCAGTTTTGCAGGCTAATTCTGCCCACTGCCAGGAGTTGGACCCTGACCGACGGACTCAAGGTTGACTCAGCCTTTCAACCTTGTCGGTAAAATGAGGATCCAGATTGTGTGGGGCAACAGGCTGACTCTGTAAACCACTTAGAGGGGCCTGTAAAGCACTATGAAGCGGTATATAAATCTAAGTGCTATTACTGTCAATTATCTTCTCCTGATAAACTCTAGGATAAAACAACCAGGTAAAATAGCATTAGGAGGGTCAAAAATAACCCCAAGCCAACTTCTTTTACAAAAGTATCTGGGAACTTTCATTTCATATTTATATATCTGCGTGAATTTAATTTGATTTAATTTGAATATGATTTCTTCCTTTCTCTTAGGATTACCTCAATGCTCTTCTATTGTTCTGGTCTATTATCTTTCCACCGAAGTAACCCTTCCCCTTCTCAAATCTCCCACCGGCAACTCCATTTCTACCTGAATTATAACCCTTTTACTCAAAATTTTCCTCCTCATGACTCCAACCTCTCCCTTTTTTGGCTTTGGAAGTCAGGGATTAAAAACCATCCAGTGGAATCCTACTCCACCTTGAAGTTGATCCTTTTCGATCCTCTAAGGCAGTGTTGCTCAATCTTGGCTGCTTGAAGATGTGTGGATTTCACATCAGTGGTGGGTTTCAAAATTTTTTACTACCGGTTGGTGTGGTTTGGTGGGCGTGGCATGGCATGGCTTGGCTTGGTGGGTGTGGCTTGGTGGGCGTGGCAGGGGAAGGATACTGTAAAATCTCCATTCTCTCCCCACTCCAGGGGAAGGTTACTGCAAAATCCCCATTTCCTCCCAATCAGCTGGGACTCAGTCAGAGGTGGTATTTACCGGTTCTCCAAACTACTCAAAATTTTCGCTACCGGTTCTCCAGAACTGGTCAGAACCTGCTGAAACCCACCTGTGCTTCAAATCCCAGAATTCAAGCTGCTAAGGTTGAAAAACACTGCTTTTAAGGTAACGATCAAGATGATATGATCTCATGGAGATATGAGGTGTAGATTTCAAACCTGAATTGTTTTTATTAGGTATAATAGCAGAAAAATTAGATAAGGAAAGTATGTATTTAATACTACATGTTGTTAACAGCAACAAGGATTATATTCGCATCATATTGCAAAAATGAAGAAACACCGCGAGATGACGAGATAATTAAGAAGATACTAGACTGTGCAGAAATGGATAGATGGACATTGAAAATTAAGCAGAAAGAAGACACAGAATACTGGAATCAAACATGGAATCTATTTTACCAGTGGTTTGGAAAAAGGGGTGAGATTTAAGAATATAATCAGCATTGCTAAGCAAATTAAATAACCAGACAACACGATGTTTATTAAGCACTAAGAAATGTAATTAATAAAAAAAATCAATAAAATTTGGGAGAAAAAAAAGATGATATGGGAGCACTAACCTCTCCATCCTGATTGCTTCGGTCTTCCTCAATTTCTCCTCCCAGGTTTCATTCAGCTCTGCAATGATTTTCTCAGATTCCTGGAAAAAAAAGAGAATGGAGGAAGAGGGTTACATAAGACCGAATATCGGTATCTTTCTTGGCTTCTCAGCACCACAAATTTAAATCTAGCCAAATGAAAATATTAAAGGAAATAATCAGAATGGTTCAGTGAACAGAGTGCTCTGCTGGGACCGGGAAATCCTAAGCATTGCTGTAAAGCTTTTGACTTTGCAATAGATCCTGCCGTTTTCAACCCATATTTTCCTTCATCTAAAGCCCTAAAAATTCCATGTCATGCTCTCATATAATAGCTTCATATTTCACGAAGCCAATGATTTTTAAATGTTCTTTTGACCAGGCTACCAACTCTAAAAAAGAACTGCAGCAGAATCCAATCTGCTGCCAAAATTATGGAGGCCAGAAACAGCCCGTTTCCCAATTTCCAGTGAGCCCGGAAGGCCCGAAAATCAGCTGGCCAGCATGTGCATGCGCGCTGGAGCTGAGACAGGGCAATGCTTGTGTGCCCACAGATATGGCTCCACGTGCCACCTGTGGCATGCGTGCCATAGGTTCGCCATCACGGCCATAGCATTTAATCAAAGGGCCCACCCTAGTGGAGGCAGATTGTTGTTACTCCTTGAGTCTGCACATATTCTGCATGTATCCATCACAAACGCTCTCGCAAAATCCAAGGTCAGGAGAGAATGTTGGCCAACATCTTTTAGTTTACAGCAGGATGGTGTGGAGATCTGGTAGGGCAACAATCCCACTTCAGGACTTTCAGATTTACTGCTGAAGGAAGTTCTGGCTATCTCCAGACTCCATGTATGAGGTCTTTCTTTTTTTGGTCTTTCAGTCCAACCAGCCATTCTGTTTTCTCTTCCTAGGTTTAACCAAATTGTGAATGATCTGCCTTGCCAATGTTAGGTAAATGTCCCCAAGAGCCACAATAATCTATTATTATTGTTGTTGTTGTTGTTGTTGTTAGTTGCGAAGTCGTGTCCGACCCATTGTGACCCCATGGACAATGTTCCTCCAGACCTTCCTGTCCTCTACCATCCTCTGGAGTCCATTTAAGTTTATGCCGACTGCTTCAGTGACTCCATCCAGCCACCTCCTTCTCTGCCGTCCCCTTCTTCTTCTTTTGCCCTCCATCATTCCCAGCATTCGGCTCTTCTCCAGGGAGTCCTTCCTTCTCATTTGGTGGCCAAAGTATTTGAGTTTCATCTTCAGGATCTGGCCTTCTAAAGAGCAGTCACGGTTGATCTCCTCTAGGACTGACCGGTTGGATGGCCTTGCGGTCCAAGGGACTCGAGGGAGTCTTCTCCAGCACCAGAGTTCACAGGCCTCCATTCTTTGGTGCTCAGCCTTCCTTATGGTCCAACTTTCACAGCCAGACATTGCAACTGGGAAAACCATCGCCTTGACTATACGCACTTTGGTTGGCAGGGTGATGTCTCTACAATAATCTATAGGACGCAGGAAGTGTCTCTTTTTTTTTTTGAGAGGTTTCTAGAACCACATTAGCACTGTGATACTTCAAATATTGCTGAGCACATTGTAAGCCGCCCTGAGTCTTCGGAGAAGGGCGGCATATAAATCAAATTAAAAAAAAAAAAAATTGCTGAAGCTTTTCCCGCGATTGCATCTTCAACCAGCCATATAACAAAGAGTTGCTTCTTTCCTCAGGAATGGAAGTGGGGGGGGGGAGGAATTTCTCTTTTGAGCAGTGTCAACAGGGCTGTTTCTCTGCCACTCACAGCAGGTTTTTTTAAAAAGGGCTACGCTCGCAGACGGGATCGGCTAGGCAGGAGATAAAAACATGATGGCGGGTGGGGTGGGAACACTTAAGCAGAAGAAGAGTCAAATGCCCACAAGCCTTTTATTCCAGGATGGACAACGGGAGACAATATGCTGTTCTGCACACATTCGCTGCCTGGTAGCTTTAATGGCATTTCAAAGCTCGCTGCAGCAGAGGTGCTGCTGTGAATACTGATGAAAAACAGCATGCCTATCCCAGACACTTGCAAATCGAGAGATCTGAAGCTGCCACCTTGAGCCAAAGCAGGATGCATACGAAATGTAGGCATTTAATAAAAGGAAGTAAAAGGGGTTGGAGCCCACCCCCCCGCCCCTCCAAAAAAGTTACTGTTTCTCTCCAACCCCTTTTACTTCCTTTTATTAAATGCCTACATTTCGTATGCATCCAAGCCCATCCAAGTTTCTCATGGAAGGGGAGGGGAAGTACAAAAAGGCAGCATTCAAAATCCACAACCCAGCCCGAATGGGGGCAATGGGGGCGGGGGGGGGGGGGGGAAGCTCTGGCAAGGCCAAAAGATAAAATCCTCCACTGTTGTGCCCTTTGGAAGCCGCTCAGTGCGCATACACACAGATGCCGGAGAAAAGGCTCCATTGTCTGCAGATAGTAGGGCATTTTCTACGCCCGCACATTTTAATGAGCGGCCTCTTAAGTCCCCGCATTACAGACGGTTTAACAATGACTCTTAGAGAGATGGACCAATACAGGAATTTTGAGGGTCGCTTTTAACTTTGGGGGGAGGGATTCTCTTTAATTCTGTTGGCCAGGCTGAGGACTCCCTTAAGTAGGAAAGGGGGGGGGTCTCCATCATTTTTTTTTTAAAAAATCAGAAGCCGCTGAAGCTCCTTCACAATGCCATTACCACTGATGTTTTTAACTTTGTGGCCTGCTCAAGTTGTGTTGTTTGTTGGGTTCTTTAATTTTTAATTTTGAAGGGCAATGCTAGCGGAATGACTTTATATGGTTGCTTTTCCTCTTTTTTCTGATGGGGTGCCATTATTATTGTTGTTACAGATCAATAACGTGAAATCACAGCTGCCGGTTCTTCAGCCGATGTTGGCTTTTGTTCAAGTTTTCCGAATTATTATTACCGTTTTCCCCAAAAGAGCCTTGATAGTACAGTGGTCTAAGCACCCTGTTATTAACACAGCTGCCTGCAATTACTGCTGGTTCGAATCTCTCCAAGGCTCAAGGTTGACTCAGCCTTCCATCCTTTCTAAGGCAGGTGAAATGAGGACCCAGTTTGTGGGGGCAATAAGCTGACTTTGTATAAATATAGAAAAGGATGAAGGCTATTGCTTAACGCATTGTAAGCCGCCCTGAGTCTCCGGAGAAGGGCGGCATATAAATCAAATTTAAAAAAAAGGAAAAAGACATCCCCTGATAATAAGCCCAATCAGGCTTTTGACTGCATGGCAAAAAGGCCAAGCACTTATTTCAGGGTTTAAAAACAATATAAGACAGGGTCTTATTTTCGGGGAAACACATTATTATTATTATTATTATTATTATTATTATTATTATTATTATTATTATTATTATTATTATTATTATATCATCATCATCATCATCATCATCATCATCATCTTTTATTCACTAAACATGAAACTCAGTCAACTGAACATTTAAAAATGCATCACAAATACCACTGACTGGCACTGATGGTTGATACGGGTTGCTGCCAGCATCCTAGGTATCGACCAAGTACCTTCTTAAGATGTACGATGTTCCGAGTGGCGCAGTTTTTTTGCAGTTCTGCAAAAAAAGGGCTGAGAGAGAGAGGGACTGGCCCAAGGTCACCCAGCTGGCTTCATTCTTAAGGGAGAACTAGAGATCACAGTCACCTGGTTTCTGGCCTGGTGCCTTTAACCATGACAACAAACCGGCTCTCGTCATTATTAACTGCCCTCCCCCCCGATAACTTCTGAAAATATCAAATGTTCGCGTTCTAAAATAGGATTCCCAATCTTGGCAAGTTTATGGACAGCTTCTGCGCCGAAGACAAATTCCTTGTATGTCTAATCACATTGGGTCAAATAAAGTATCCCATTCCTATTCCTATTCCATCCTATTCTATTTGGAAAATGGAGTGAGCACAATCAACAGCTGCCTTCCCTTAGGACAGGCTGGGCACAACTCATCGGCAACAGGAGGAAGATGGTGAAGTTCAGGTAGGTACAGCAAGGCCCGGAGAGAGCAGGGCAGGGCAGTGTCTCTCTCTCTCTCTCTCTGTGTGTGTGTGTGTGTGTGTGTGTGTGTGTGTGTGTGTACATGGACTTCAACTCCCAGAATTCTCCAGCCCGCATGCTCCAGCCCAGAATTCTCCAGCCCGCACGCCTCTTAAAATTGCCAAGGTTGGGAAACTCTGTTCTAAAGAGACCTATTCGTGCCGCACTCTAACAGATGTTAGGCAGATGAGGTTCTGGGTAAAGCCAAGATGGGTTTTTTGGGGGCCATTTGACCATTCCAGCCACCGTACCTTCAGACGTTCAATGGCTTCCTCTCCTCCGGGCGTGGACATGATCCGTTCTTGGATACTGGAGACGGCCGTTAAGCCCACCTGACTACTGAGAGAGCAGGAAGATGGAGATGCGGTGAGCGAGCCCATGGATGCTGTGGAAAAATGGCCAGGACGTTGATTCTCGGAGGCTAACAAGTATCTGTGCTTATTGTTCTGAAAATCTTTCAGATCTGAGAGAAAGAGAGAGAGAGAGAGAGAAAGAGACAGACAGACAGACAAGCAGAAGGGAGAGGCGAGGCAAAGGAAAAAGGAGCAGAAGAGAGGGAAAGAAGAGAGGGAGGAGACACCAGTATCAGAGGAAAGCGCACAAAAAGCAAACGGACAGAGATGTAATAGTTCTAGGATGGCAGTTTTGAAGTTTTGAAACATGGTACCCTTCGATCCACCTTTGTCAGAGGCAAACAACCAGATCGACACCTGAAGAGTTCAATTAGTTACTTTATTGCTTTTATGCCTATTTCACAGGAATCTTCTCAGACTGGTGGTTTGCACCTGAGCAAGACTAGATAAAAGTTCAATGGCATTCAAGGAGGGTTGGACCTTGGTCTCTTATGCCTACATAATGATTCCAGGCTAATTCCCTACTTGACTCCCTCCCCCTGGCTCAGCTAGTCTCTGACAAAATTCGAGAGAGCTCCTTCCCTGGAGCCAAAGGGTTCAATCTTTTAGGTATCCTGTTCTTTTATCTGGATCTGGTTCAGCTATAGCTTTGCTGTCCTCTGTTAACTGATCCTTTCAAATGTTAATACAAGGATGGAATCAATTAGAGGCAGAGAGTCTGCTGGGCGTAATTTTTTAATTTTTAAATGGCAGCCATAATGCCTGGTTCTTTACACAATAGAACAAGGGCTGGCTCTGACCACACCACTGCGAGCATCATCTTAATTTTTTTCCCTCCATATCTGGCAAACACCCTTCAGGAGGGAAATCAGAGACTCCTGAAATGAATGATCAGATTAACTGCCACTCTCTTGGATAAGATGGGATGAGAGCCAAGCGTTCAGGACCGGCCATTATCTCCCTCCAATAGGCGATGGCGCAGGGTTTTTCAAAAACCCCGTTTTTAAAAGGAAGGGGAAGAATGTAATTTTAGAATTAGCCAGCCCTAGAAAGAAATTACCGTATTTTTCAGACTATAAAACGCACCTGCATAGAAGAGGAAAACAACAACAACAAAGTTTTTGGCCTCCGTTTTTTCAGGCCTTTTTTTGGCCCTTTTCCAGTCTTTTTCCAGCCCATTTCCAGGGCTTTTTTCAACCCATTTTTGGGACTTTTTTGGCGGCTTTTTTTGGCCCATTTCTCAGAAAAAATGGGCCAAAAAAGCCTAGAAAATGGACCAAAAAAGCCTAGAAAATGGGCCAAAAAAAGCCTAGAAAATGGGCCAAAAAAGTCACAAAAACGGGCTGAAAAAAGCCTCAAAAACAGGCCGAAAATCCCCTCAAAAACAGGCCCCAAAAAGTCCTGAAAATGGGCTGAAAAAAGCCTCAAAAACAGGCTGAAAAAAGCCTAAAAAACAGGCCAAAAAAAGCCCTGAAAACAGGCCAAAAAAGCCTCAAAAACGGGTCAAAAAAAGCCTCAAAAACAGGCCGAAAACCCCCTCAAAAACGGCCCGGAAAAAAACTCAAAAATGGGCCGAAAAAAGGCCTGAAAATGGAGCATGCGGAGGCCAAAAAAATGGCTGGCGGGTGGGCGGGGCTTCAGCAATATTCAATCTATAAGACGCACAGACATTTTCAACCCCTTTTGAGAGACAAAACAGTGCATCTCATAGTCTGAAAAATACAGTACCATCAGTGCTATATCTGAATGTTGTTGGTATATCCTGGATGCTTGCCAGAATAGGGGTAGGATTCTGTTCACAGAACAGAATGATGATTCTGTTCTAACAAACAGATCTAAATTCTTCCAAACCCCTCCCAAACGGCATCCAGAAATTTTCACATTTCACGGAACTGTAGGGCTGAGGATTACCCAACGCATACATGTTTCTGTTCTCAAGAGCCCAGTGGTTATGTTTCAAGTGGGTTTAAAAACTGCCACCTGAAAATTCAGAAAAGAGCAGGATTGAGAGTCGAGCGCAATTCGAACGCCGCCAGGATGGCAAGCCAAGGAGGTAGAGCAAAATCACACACCCTGGAGAAACTCGTGCATCCACAGGAGAGCGGGGAAGGCTTACAAATTGCCAAAGCCGCCACACAATTGTCACAGAGCACCACACACGGCTGGCCCATGCATATTCGCCCCCTCCTCTCCAAAAGCCGTGGCTGCATGTACTAAAATCAAGAGTTTAAAAAGCTGTCAAGCTGAAAGCGGCATTAAAAAGGGGAAGGGGGGGGCAGAAATACTGGAAATTATAAAAAAAAAAAAAAAAGACAATGCCAGAAAAAGAGACTAGATCAATTACACTTCCAATTCTCTGCATTCAAGGAGATTGCCAATAGATCTCTTCTGACTTTCTTGTTTTAAAGGGCAGGCTGAGGCCTTGCAAACAGCACTCAGCTGTTTTGCAAATTCCCCAACTTTTTTTTTTGGTTTTTAATCTCCACCGAGGAAAGGAGAGATCTGCAGGAAACTGCTCAGCCACCTCTCTAACAATCCGTTCAATAAAAGCTTTCTGTGTGAGTTTTCAGTCTGCCCACCTCTCTTATTAGCAAGATGGGTATTTAGCTAAACTGAGCCCCGGGGGGGGAGGGGAATCTAATAAAAAAGGCACTAATCCAGTAGACAGCTGTCTTGATATCAAACATTCAAATAAATAATAAAAATACACTGTGTTTTTCAGCTAAGCCCTGGTGGCGCAGTGGTGAGAATGCAGTATTGCAGACTAACTCTGACCACTGCCAGGAGTTCGATCCTGACCGGCTCAAGGTTGACTCAGCCTTCCGTCCTTCCGAGGTCGGTAAAATGAGGACCCAGATTGTTGGGGGCAATAGGCTGACCTTGTAAACCGCTTAGAGAGTATTGTCAAACATTGTGGAGCAGTGTACAAATGCTTTTGCTATTGCTATTTGCACCTACGCACGGACACATATTGTATATATATGAATGAGAAAGTACTGCTAAACTGAATGAAACTGTGCGCTTTTAAATTTCCCCTGCTTTTGAACTGCACAGCATTTGAAACAAATAGGAATATTTGATACATACACACACAATGCAGGTAAGTATCAATTACTCCATTCTGGGTATTGTTATGTTTCCAAATATCGGTAGTTTGAGCACAAGAGGGATTTAAAATAGAGGTCCTTGATTTTCCTTGGTTTCGCAGCAGAAAATTCATGTTTTCTTTCAGAGAGGCCTGTCAGATGATTTCATACTCTCTCTCTTCCTTTTTTTTTTTTTTTTAAATGCTCTCCTGGGATTTCCCTGTAAGGAATTGGAGTGTAACATTCAAATGCAGCCCACTCAGCAGAAGCCAAAGATTTGGGGGGGGGGGGGGAAATGGATTGATTCTGCAATACACACATTTGCATCCACTCCCCGAGAAATCGTCCAGCGGATCGACTGAAGAAACGAGGTTAGGAGGGAAACACAAGAAGGATAAAAATACTCAGGGTTAGCAGGAGACACGATGTGAGAAAAGGAAAAGCTTGATGGGAAAAAGAAGGAAGTCAGATTCTCAAATTCAACAATTTCAGCTAATTTGTTACTATAACAGGAGGGGGGGAGGGAAAATCCTCTATGATTTGGGATTGCTATTCGATTAGCGCTTAAGAAAAGTTTTATCCATTGTTTCTTAGGGTAAATGCTCTAGCCCAGTGATGGCAAACCTTTTTGGCACCGAGTGCCCAAACTGGAATGCACCTGCATGTGCGCACACCGGCGCGCCGTAAACCCGAAAACCAGCTGGCCGGCGTGCGCATGTCTGTTTTTTGACTGTTTGGGGGGGCATTTTCAGGCTGTTTTGGGGCTGTTTTCAGAATGTTTTTCAGGCTGTTTTCCTGGGCGTTTTCCGGGCGTTTTTTGAGCCGTTTTTCAGGCTGAAAAATGGCCCGAAAATGGCCCAGAAAATGCCCCCAAAACAGCCTGAAAAAGACCCGGAAAATGGCCCAGAAAACAGCCTGAAAAAGACCCGGAAACGGTCCAGAAAACAGCCTGAAAACAGCCCCTAAAAGGCCCAAAAATGGCCCAGCCTGTTTTTTGGCTGTTTTTCAGGTTGTTTTCAGGCCGATTTCTGGTGCTCTGGTGCCCACGACGACCAGCTGGCCAGCACGCATGTGCAAGCCAGAAACCAAAAGAGCAGCTGGAGACGGCGCACATGCCCACAGAGAAGGCTCTGAGTGCCACCTGTGGCACACTTGCCATAGGTTCACCATCACGGCTCTAGTCTATGTGCTGTGTAAAAAGAATGGGCGAATTTCTTGGCAGATAAATAAGCATCCAGAATTCAAAAATGAAGGTTAAGCATTTGTCCCTTAACAATTCCCAGATATTCACTGAGAGAGAGGGGGCGGGGGGGGAGATATCACACTCCCTGTTCCAGAAACTCAAAAGCTTCGCCTTCATTCGTCAAAACTTTCTCACCATTTCACTGTGGCAAACAGCTGACCAGTGGCGCTTTCACTGTTAAAATGATTGGCTGAAGTCTCCAAAACCAATTCCTCAATTTCTATGAGAGTGACTCCCTTCCCAGGATGGAGAGGGCGTGGTGGGATAATCAATACGGGTAACCCTCAATGTACGACCACAGCTGAGCCCCAAAATATCTGCTGCTTAAGTGAGACACTTAATATTTACATATTTAAACCCATGCGCAGCTGGTCCCCGCCATTTCCTCTGGTTAGAGTTAGGGAGACAGAGCTGGAAATCAGGTAAGACGGCAAGAGGAGCCCCGTCTTGCTCCACGCGCCCCAAAATAATAAGACCTCCCCGAAAATAAGGCCAAGCGCTTATTTCGGGGTTCAAAAAAATATAAGACAGGCTCTTATTTTAGGGGAAACAATGGCCACTAAACAAACTGTTGTAAGTCGAGGGCTATCTGTATTGACCTACAATTCCACAGCGGTTAGAATTACTCTGGAAAAGCATCAAGTGCACCAAACGTATTCCACATAATTTGGGCCTAAATGCAAGCATTTGTGTTCCAAATTCCAATGAGGATGGTGAAAGAGTTCATTTATAACCAGCCCCTTTTCACGACACGGATGGGGTGGGTGGTGGGGGAAGCCAAACCTACTATATTGTGAGGATTATGAAATGCTAAAAAATGGAGAAACGTGGACAAAACGTCCCACAAATTCCAATCTTTTGTCTTTTTGTTTTTGTGAGCTACGGATTGAGATATTTCATTTAAAGTTAATGGCCTTCTAAGTTTAAGTTGTTTGGGGTGTGAGCAGGGGAGTGTTGCTCTGGAAGCAAATAGGCATTTAGGATGGAAGACTCAAGGAAAGAAGTTAACATGTCCCCAATGTATAATTTACAATATTTTTAATGAAGTGTTTATCATCTATAGCAGTGATGGCTAACCTTTTTGCCATCGCGTGCCAAAACCATGGGGAGCGTGGGGGGGGGCGTACACACGTGTGCCCACACCCATAATTCTATGCGCCCCACCCCCTGCACATGCGTGCACACCACCACCCGCTTTTGGCACACAATGCCACGGTGGGCCTGGTGGGCCCATTTTTCACCCTCCCCAGGCTCCAGAGCCTTTCTAGGAGCCTGGGGAGGGCAAAAACAGCCTTCCCTCACCAAACGGCCCATTTCCAGCCTCTGGTGTGGGGGGTCGGGAAGACTGTTTTCACCCCCCCCAGGCTCCTAGAAAGGCTCTGGAGCATGGGGAGAGTGAAAAACGGGCCGTTCTCTCCCCCTCCCGCCCGCTGGAGGCCCTCCAGAGGCCGGAAACAGCCTGTTTCCCGACTTCCGGTGGACCCAGAAAGCCTGAAAATCAGCTGGCCGGCATGCTGGAGTTGAGCTTGCATGCCCACCGTGCCATAGGTTCGTCATGATGGATCTATAGTCTCCCTCCCTCTTCTTCCTCTCTCTCTCTCTCTCTCTCTCATATTTTAAAATTTTCAGTTGCATTAACTTTAAAGTTTAATAGAGACATGCTTTGATTAGAAAATGGATACGAAATGTCTTGTACTCTGCGAAGCTTTTAATAATGTACTAGAACATTAGTCAAATGATGCTTTAAATTTGTTGGCAATCTTCCCATACTTTACTCATTTGACTTTTTTTTTTCTTCCCTTCCTTCATCTAGCCTGCCCTTGTTGTGTGGTCTTTTTCTTTTATTCTTTCAACAGCAGTGACCATCATCATAACAGAAAGAGATAATAAAAAGCTGTAAATCCTGGCAGCTTACGTTGTGCTAGAATAAACCCCCGTTTGGCAAACGCAACTGCCCTGATCTAGTTTATCCGAGCGACTCTGGAAGGAATGAAAACGTAAACGTTTGTCGTTCTTGTTTGGTTCTAGGAGGGCATTTTGAAATGGGAGGCTGCTGGAATTGACAGCTGCAACCTACTCTTGAAACAAAAGGTTATAGGAACAAGCTATTGCTGCAGCGCGCCCGGCTTGCTACCCCGGGAACTGTTTTCTGGAAGACTTTCTAATTTTGTCAAGGGAAAGAAACATATAACAGAATAATAGAGTTGGAAGGGACCAGGAGACTCTATGCCATTTCAAACAAATGGTTGTCCAATCTCTTCTCTGCTTAATACTCAACTGGGTGGGTAAATTAACAATGCTCCAATACAAGATTATGGAGCGCGCTTGTCAATCAAGGTAAGGTACATGAACTTTAGTTAAACCTATCCCTGCCTCTTTGCTACACCCTCAAAATTGACCAAAAATGCTCGGTTTTTCTTCCAGAAACGCAATGGGAAAGAAGTGGATCTTCTCCAAAGAAACCAGGAACCAGCCAGTTCCATCCACTTACTGTCGATGATGTCTCCAAGCCCTTGGGCGCGAAGTAGATCTTTCAGCCGTGTGACTTCTTCCTTCAGTTCCCGCACCAGCTTGGCGTTGGGATCCTCGTTGATCACCGCGTTGCATTTGATCTGCTTGGCCCGATCTGCGTATCTGGACAGATCGGTTTATTAAGATTAAAACAACGGCAAAATAATGTACGTTTAAACCAGTGGTGGTATTCAGTCAGTTCTATCCGGTTCAGGCGAACCGGTAGGGGGCCATCCGCGCGAACGTCATGACGTCCCCTTTTTTTGAGGCTCTGTACATGTGCAAAGATGGTGCGTGTGAGCACAGCGCGCGCACACACATTTGCGAGCCAGTAGGGAAGGTAAGTGAATACTACCCCTGGTTTAAACATCCTTCACTTGGCAATGGTCAAGAATCTTGGAAGATAGACTCCAAAGGTTTTTATCTAGATCAGCCTGAAGTAGTGTGGACTTCAACTCTCAGAATTCCCCAGCCAGCATCTCTGGGAGTTGAAATCCATACATCAATTGCTCTACAAACTCGAGTCACGTTGCCTAAAACAAGAGAGAAAATATGGAAGAGGAAGCCCAGCGTTTTTGTAATCCCGTTCAATACCTTAATGTGCTTAATGTTTCATCATAGTTGATGTCTGCGGGGCTCAAAGCAGCCACCATGGCGGTTCTGGAGTTGCCACCTGCAAGGCAGAAATGCAATCAGATCAAGGAAGATCAACGCTGAAAGCCAAATCGTGAAAAGACTCAGCACAAACACACCATCATTATGATCATAATTATCTAGCCGAGGGGTCATCAACCTTTCGGACCTCAGGGACCACTAAATTCATAATTTTAAATCTCACGGACCACTAATATGATCCGCCTAATGACCAACTGGGTGGGCGTGGCTAGGTGGTCATGTGACTGGGTGGGTGTGGCCAACTCGATGTCACTCGTGTCAAGGGGCGCCTCGCCGGTCTCTGCTTGCCCCTCCCCTCCCAGGCTCCTTAGAGCCCCACCAGGAAGTAGTTGTTGGAGTTAAGCAGCCACCAGGAGAAAAAGCTGGCAAAACAACTGGCTCAGTTCAAATTGGATCTGACTGAGAAGGAGGCTCAGCAGAAGCACCTCACTGAGGACTAGGAGCATAGGCTTTCCAAGCAGAGGAAAGATCTGTGGGAGTGCAAGGCCAGGTACCAGCGCCTGGAGGCTCAGCGGGCTGAGATGGTCAGCCAGTTCCAAGCCATGAGGCAGTCCCACTGGAACGAGGCTCTCCGGCTCTTTGCCACCAGTGGCCCTTCCCTCCAGCCTTCGCCCAAAGCCCCACACCAGGAGGCTGAAGCAGACCCCCAAGTCGGAATTTCTGTCCCCCTCCGACCCACACAAAAAGACCCCAAAGGGGGAGACTCTCTGCAGCAACACAAGCATTCATTGCACGTATCCGGCCCAGGGGCCGTACTTTAAGGACCCCTGATTTAGTGCAATATAAAAAATGCAAATAATTTTTCTGCGGACCAACAAAATTTTCTTGTGGACCACCAATGGTCCACGGACCACCAGTTGGTGACCGCTGATCTAACCCATCGTCAGGATGTGAGAAGGCCATTAAAAGCAGGGATTTTTTAAAAAAATACATATCTGTATCATAACAGCATTGTAAAAGATTGACGTCTGTCATCTTGAATATCAGAAGAGGAATTAGAATCCCATTTCAGAGAAGCTGGGTTTCATTTCTGGACAAACCAAAGTTGGTTGGGTTTAAGCATCATGCTAAAACATCTGATAGTTTGAAAATCAGATTTAGCAGAGTTGCCAAAGCACAGAGTGGCAAAAAGAGGCAAGTCACACTACGGCTTGATGAGTTGTGTGAATGCTAGTTTTACATTTGCCAAGTCTAAGAAAGAAAATTGCAAATTCTTGGTCCCAGAAACATCTATCCAGATCAAATATCATCTGACCAATGCAAAGTTACAATCAGAATTTGCTTCCACCCCAGAGCCACAATGGTTTAGATCAGGGGTCAGCAACCTGCGGCTCTGGAGCCACATGGGGCTCTTTCACCCCCCCTCCTGCGGCTCCGTCACTCAAAATATCACTCACAGCTGCCAATGTGTGACACTTGCCGGCACGCGATTTATTGAGCTTTTCAACCCCCGGTAGGCCAACCATGGATAAATCCAAGAAATGAAAAGTTTCAGAAGAAAACAGAACGTTTAATTCAACTACATAGGCTAGTTTTGTGGCCTCTCAAGAAATAGTCAGGCACGGGAAGGGTTTTGTGGCTCCCGGTGTTTTCTTTTCTGTGGGAAACGGGTCCAAATGGCTCTTTGAGTGTTTAAGGTTGCAGGCCCCTTGCTTTGAAAACACAGCTGATCAAATCAACATTTTTAAAAGACCAAAGTCCCAGTTTCAAAGACAGAGGAGCTAAACTTCGTGGACTAAAGTCTGCTGCTTCACCAAACGGGGCCATTCTTTGCAGAGAGATCTACCACATGTCAAATCATTGCTGGTTATTCGGGAGTGAAACTTTTAAAAACGAAAGGAAAAAGTTATCTCAACTTCATACCTAGGTTTTCCCGGAGCAGCCACGTCAGCACAGAATCCCTGTATGGGATAAAGTCCGTTTTCTTTTTCTTCTTACTCTGCAAAAGGACATTTTGTACTTAAGGCCCGGTTACCGTAAAAGACGCTTGCAGAGAGGGGTACCCGAGCTGGTGGCCTGCCACTTCCACAGAATAGGATGGGAAGCCACGACGTGGTGGAAGTGATTCTCCTGAGAAGGGGACACTTAAGTAGACTCTAAGGGCCTTTTTTTTTTTAATGGTTCAAACATTTAAACAAGTGCCTCTCCTTAAGGAGGCAGAAGATCTGAACCTGTTCGTTGCTTTTTGGCACAGGCAGGAAAACTGGAAATGGCAAGCCCCATCTTAGAAGAGGAATTAAGAGACAAAAAGAAGAATGCTCTTTTAAAAAAGAAAGAAAGAAAGAAAGAAAGAAAGAAAGAAAGAAAGAAAGAAAGCATCTGCTGCAATGCACCAAGGTGTTTCCCAACACATCTGTCAGGATGAGGACATTTTATTATCCAAGTTACATGGCGCTCCTGGATAGAAACTTCTTCATTTCTCAGCAGACAGAAATGGGGAACTGTGGGACAAAACAAAGCCAGGCTAGCTTTGCTGCGTGTTCCTATATTTGTCTCTCTCTCTCTTTCTCTTTGTCTCTCTCTCTTTTCCCACACACCCACCCGAGTTTTCCTTTGCCAAGAAGGAAACACGTTTTGAAAATGCTTCTGGGCTTAAAATCATGGTTTTAAAAATATTATTTTATAGCACGGAAGGGCTGGTCCTCCAGGAACACACAACTGGGAACCCTGTCTCGGATATGCATGGGGCTTGGATCCTGGCCATGATTCTGATGGGGTTAGCCAAAAGGCAGCCGATGAATCTAATCAGGATCGAGAACAGATGCCTTTGCCTCAAAACAAAGAAACAAAATCCAACTCCTATTGGAAAATCTTTTTTTGAGAGAAAGAGGGAGAAACTGCTATTCTGCGTATGCCTGAATGCACATACTATAGACTAAAAGGTTCCCCTCGCACATATGTGCTAGTCGTTCCCGACTCTAGGAGGCGGTGCTCATCTCCGTTTCAAAGCCAAAGAGCCAGCGCTGTCCGAAGACATCTCCGTGGTCATGTGGCCGGCATGACTCAACGCCAAAGGCGCACGGAACGCTGTTCCCTTCCCATCAAAGGTGGTCCCTATTTTTTCTACTTGCATTTTTTTTTTAACCTGCTTTGGAACCGCTAGGTTGGCAGAAGCTGGGACAAGTTAACGGGAGCTCACCCTGTTATGCGACACCAGGGATTCGAACTGCTGAACTGCCGACCTTTCGATCGACAAGCTCAGCGTCTTAGCCACTGAGCCACTATAGACTAGGACAGCCCAAAACATTGAAAGAGACCTGTTGTTGTTACAGAAGTGAGCCACGTGTGATCCAATCACGTCTTTTGAAGCAGAGAATGCTCTCTGCAGGACTGTCTTTGATATAGCAAAAGTTAGTTCTGCCAAAGAAAAGAACATTTTCTTTAGAGTGGCAGGATTTCTCCAGCTGCTACAAACATCCCTGCTTCTAGAGTTTTGCTCCCCAGCAAAACAGTTTTTCACTCCTAACAGGGGAGGTTTACTTGCCATCCCAGGGGCGTCACTGCGCAAAGCGACTGCCCTCACCGATCAATCAAGATTTCCTGAATGTACAGTCGGGAGAGCCAACACAATAAAAACGTCTGTGGCTTCTTCCAACGCTCATCCCAATCTTTGAAGCAGGCATGTTTGGAATGCGAGAGAGGATTAGACGGGTGGGGCTATGTTTTCTTTAGAAGCTCATTGCTAGCTAGGAACCAACAGTGACTAAAGCAGCGTTTCCCAACCTTGGCAACATGACGATGTGTGGACTTCTACTCCCACAATTCCCCAGCTTCCATGCTGGCTAGGGAATTCGGCGGGTTGAAGTCCACAGGTCTTTCAAGCTGCCACGGGTTGAGAAATACTGTTCTACAGGCTACCACATTCAGTGACCACACTCTTTAGCCATCATACCTTGCTGGTGCAGTTATCCTAGTTTTGGAAGCAGAGAATGGAAAAAAAGAAGATTAAAGTAAGGTAGGACCACCAACAGGGAATTTTACATCAGTAACAAGGAGTCAGAGATAAAGTTCCACTGTCGTTTCCCCAGACCGGTTAGTCTTAACCTCCCGTTACCCTAAAATTCAAACCATCCATATCATATAACTCTAGGATACGGGTAGCTATGAAAAGCACCTCCAGCCTCAGGGTGGCCAGGAAGCTTTACACGAGAGGAAACGAACAGCAAGGGCTTTCAGCCAACAAAAATGAGCGAGATAAATGGGGCGAAGATTAGCCCACCACATACACCAAGTTCCAATACAGGTAGTCCTCGAGTTAAGACCACAATTGAATTTCCACTGATAAGCAAGGCAGTTGATAAGCGAGCCCTGCCCAATTTTATGAGCTTTTCTTTTCTGCCGCAGTTATTCAGCGAATCACTGCAGGTAATGTCAGCGTCTCAGCACTGACATAGAAAAGGGAGGAGAAGCCTGAACTTTTGCCTGCTAAATCCCTTTGAAGATTCGGTCTCCTCGGAGATGGGGAGGGGGGAGACATTCCTGTGATCACAGAGCCCCAGCCCTGTGGAATGAACTGCCCCCGGAAATACTAAGATCTCCGACCTCCGGGTGTTTCGTTGCACATTGAAGACCCTGTTGTTCCGCCAGGCCGGGCTATCAACATAATAATTTTAAATTGGGGTATTTTAAATTTTTGGGGTTTTAAATCGGCCAAATCTATTTAATTATTTTAATTTTTAATCATTGTTGTGTCTTGTGTTTTTAAATTGGCTGTACACCGCCCTGAGTCCTTCGGGAGAAGGGCGGTATAGAAATAAAATTATTATTATTATTATTATCTGACAAAAAAGGAATCAGGAGAGTGACTTGGAAGATAGCCAATGAGAAGCAGAAAATTGGGGATCGGAAACGGCACAATTGGGGATTGGGGGGCAAAGGTCAGTACTGACCGCGAAGAGTCATGGTAAGATTGCTGTGCTCGAATAAAGAGAAAATTTCCTTAAAGAGCGGCAGTTTGGAAGTTCATTTATTTTGAGATAGCATCGAAACTTGACAGGTAAGTCATTAAGAAAAACCCAGCTTTCCCCATCGAGGCTGCTCGTCAAGAAGCGGATGGGAAGGTGGCTAATGGCTATCGCGAGACCAGATCAGGATGCAGCAAACCGTTATAAATGTACGCTGGTGGCCAAAAGGCCTGAATTATGATCACATGATCCTGAGGATGCTACAATGGTTGTCACTTTTTTTCAATAAATTTGAATGTTCCCTGTATCAGCGGTTTCTTTAAGGCGCTCCCCAAAAAATCTGGACTTACCACTTCCGCCAAGGCCGAAATCACCTTCCCCAGCGTGGTGAGGGACTTGTTGATATTTGCCCCTTCCTGGAAAGGGAAATCAGACGGAAACATTGCTCAAATGCCAGAAAGTGAGGAAAACACACAATCTTGTTTCCCTGTCTTCAAGCAGGCAAGCTGGGTGTTTATTGATTTAAACTGCAGCAGGGATCTTAATGCCTGGATCTCTGGTAAGCAATGGCTGAAGAGGACAATAATCAGTTCTTCGTGCACGTTCCCTGAGCTGTCAGGGAGTTTTGACGAAGAGGGGCAGGAGTTTGGCCTCTCAGAAAATGGGGCAAAAAAAAAAGCCCATTAAGGAATCACACTGGTCAGTTCATGATCAAGAGGGCAACTTCAAGCACTGGTGGGGAAGGAAAGGGGGATCCTGCAAACTGAAGAATGACGCCCATTTGCCAGCTGCCCGCCAGACCCCATCCTTTGGAGCTTATACCTTTAGTCGAGTCCCTTTGGCACCAGTAGAGTCGGCTCTCTCACTCCCGGCTAGGTCCACCAAGCTGATTTTGCTAACCTGGAAAGAAGAGGCAGGACCGGTTCAGTACTACGATCCAGAGGAGAAACAACTGGTCAGATGGTTGTAATTTGACAGGATCCAACAGGACCAGGACTGAATAATGTTCAATGGGGCCGGTACAGCCTTAATGTATATACAGCGCTCAATAAATTGTCTGCTTTTTTGTTGTGGTTTTTTTCAAAGTATTATCCCAAGCTGGAAAGCTTCTCTCCCACTAGGGATGTGCGTTTTTTAAACATTGCAAATCCCACTGAAACTTTAATTACCGTATTTTTCGGACTATAAGACCAGGGGTGGGCTTCAAAATTTTAGCAAGGGGTTTTCTGCCTGGTTGCTGGGTAGAGTCTCTCAAGAGCTCTTGATCAGTTGCAAGGATCAATTGCCGCGGCTATTTCGGAGGGGAAAGAAATAGATTACCTTCTCTGTGGAAAGGTTGGTTTCAGTATCGTGTTTCTTCTGAGTGAAAACTATGGTGAAGACAGCATGAGAGCGACTGCTGGTCTCGTTCATGTTGGTAGCTGCTACCGTCCTTGGGAAGGGAAAAGGGAACATAGAGCACTGCACACCAGAACAGTTTTTTCCCAAACGCCATCACTCTGCTAAACAAATAATTCCCTCAACACTGTCCAACTATTCACTAAGGCTGTATTACTATTAATCTTCTCATCATTCCTATCACCCCTCTTCCCACTTATGACTCCATGACTGTAACTTTGTTGCTTGTATCCTTACCATTTATATTGTTTCCTAGTATGATTTGATTGCTTATTTGTACCCTATGACTATCATTAAGTGTTGTACCTTATGGTTCTTGATGAATGTATCTTTTCTTTTTATGTACACTAAAAGCATATACACCAAAGGCAAATTCCTTGTGTGTCCAATCACACTTGGCCAATAAAGAATTCTATCTATCTATCTATCTATCTATCTATCTATCTATCTATCTATCTATCTATCTCTATCTCTACCTACCGTGTTTCCCGAAAATAAGACCTTGTCTTATATTTTTTTGAACCCTGAAATAAGAACTTGGCCTTATTGCCATGCGCTCAAAAGCCTGATTGGGCTTATTATCAAAGGATGTCTTATTTTGGGGAAAACAGGGTATCTATATTTCTATCTATCTATCTATCTATCTATCTATCTTAGAGAAAACAAAATATAAGGCAAGAAGATAAAGCAGAAATGTTTAAATCGATTGCTTTATTCAAAGAGGAGAATATATTTATGTTTTTTATTTGCAGATCACTCCTGGATTTTATGCTTGTGATGAAAAAAAAACCCTGAAACTTTGACTTTGGTTTTGCTGATGAGATAAATTTGTTCTCATAGAAATAGCTAGTTATATTCTAATGTGTAGAAGTAAAAAGTTGGGGCTGGAATGTTGTTGTTTTGTACTGTGCTAAAAAGAGTTGGAAGTCAACGTTTTTTGCTTTTTTCCCTTGTACCTCATATTTTCTTTTCTCCCCTCTTTTTCCCCCCTCCCTTAATTTCCTATTTTTATTTTTCCTTTGATACATTGATACAACAATAAAAGTTATGAATAGCATAGCTGGCTGGAGAATTCTGGGAGTTGAAGTCCACAAGTCTTAAAGCTGCCAAGTTTGAAGACCTCTTGAGTTAGTCCCACGGCTGTTAAGTGAATCTGGCTTCCCCACTGACTTTTTGGTCAGGAGGTCGCAAAGAGAGGATTACGTGACCCCGGGGTGCTGCAGCTGTCATAAGTACAAGCCAGATGCCAAGCGTCTGAATTTTGATCACGTGACCACAGGGATGCTGCAAAGGCCGTAAAGTGTGAAACACAGTCCTAAGTCTCTTTTTTCGGTGCCGTTGTGACTTTCAATGGTCACTAAATGAATTGTGAGTCGAGGACTACCTGTACAAGAGCCCCTGAAGTGCAAAGACACTAACCTCGCTTTATTCCCAGCATCCATGAGGTCTGCGATATCGGTGTAAGAAGTGACAGCAAGCTTGGACAGGTCTTCCACATAAGGCCCGAGCAGTGGGTGTTCCCGGACCCGCAAATTCCCTTTGTTTTTGGGGTTCAGCAAGTCTCGAACTCTCTCACAGTAGATCTCCATGTAACTGACCTACAAGAAAGGGACGACAATAGAAAATTGTGACACAGGGGAGAAAAAAAAAGAAAGAGGGTTGTTAGTATAGGTAGACCTCGACTTACGACCACAATTGAGCCCAAAATTTCTGCTGCTAAGTGAGGCATCTGTTAAGTGAGCTCTCCCCCACTTTACGACTTTCCTTGCCACTGTCAGGCCTGGAAGCCATCTTTTACATTTGGGCCTTCAGGCCTGCCACCTCTTCTTCTTGTGGGGAAATGGGAGGGGGGATTGCATAGAGTGTAGGTGATACGTAGTCAAAATAACATTCTTTTCTCAGAGAGTCAAGGACGTAGTGGCCAGGCACCTGGAGTCGGATGACTGGGAGGTGTCCTCAATTTGGATGGTGGATGATTGGACCATGTGATGGACATGAGAGTGATGGGCAGGGACTTGAACTTTCACTTGGGTGAGGAAGACCTGGAAGCTTTCAGATTTGGGTTTTCCCAGATGTGCCAATATGACAATACAAAGTAACTTTGAGGAAATCCAAGCCTCGGGAGTTTTCTTTCGTTGGGGGTGTTACTTGGAAACCCTGACAGCCACAACTGTTAAGTGAATCCCTGCAATTGTGAATATGGCTTTAAATTGTATCTGCTTGTCAGGAGGTCGCAAAAGGGGATCACATGATCCCCAGGACACTGTGACTGTCATAAATATGAGTCAGTTGCCAAGCTGACTGTTTTCTATATTATTTCAGTTGCCAAGCTTCTGGAATTTTGATCACAAGACCATGGAGATGCTGCAACTGTTGTTAAGTGTGAAAAAGGGTCATTGGTCTTCCCCCCGCCCCGGTGCCGTTGTAATTTTGAACGGTCACTAAATGAACTGTTGTAAATCGAGGACTATCTGGACAGAAGAGGCAGGTAATGGAAAGGAAAATTATGGGAGTTCCAAAAGTTGTTCAGGGAGTCATAAGTGCTGATTTTAGAAAAACTCCATTATTCATCACATAGGCACTTTAGGTCCAAGACATCAATAAGTATTTTGAGAGCTTCTCTAGATCGCTCAGGTATCTAAAGGAAAAAAATGAGAGGAATTTGCAAGCGGCGATGAGGTAAGGGCCCACACAAATAGCTCCGAGGTCAAGGAGCCATCTTATATAAAACTGAGCCACTCTTTTAAGAGTGCCCAAGATAGTCTCCTCTGAGGGGCAGCTGCCAACTTCAACTCTTCTCTTTTCTTGAAAAAGTAGGGTGCCACAAGAAGGACCGGAAGGGGGAAGAGAAGTGGTAAAACTTCCCTGGGAAAGTGGCCACAAGCAAGCCACTAGGTAGGGTTCGATTCGAAATCTTAATACACTTCATAATGAAGCCACAAACCAGGAGGGGCAAAGGTCTCGATGAAGACAAGTCAAGCAACAACACTAAGAACAAAAGTGTGTGTGTGTGTGTGTGTGTGTGTGTGTGAGAGAGAGAGAGAGAGAGAGAGAGAGATGGAGAGAAAGAGAGAGATGGAGGGAGAGCGAGAGAGATGGAGAGATATTGAGACAGAGAGGGAGAGGTGGAGACAGAGGGAGAGGGAGAGAGAGGAAAGATGGAGAGAGAGGGGGGAGGGGGAGAGAGAAAGGAGAGAAAGAGAGAGAAGGAAGATGGAGAGAGAGGGAGAGAGAGAGAGAAGAGAGGGAGAGGGAGGAAGGGAGGGGGAAAGAGAGGAGAGATAGAGAGGGAGGGAGGGGGAGAGAAATCGAGACAGAGAAGGAGAGGGAGTGAGAAGGAGAGATGGAGAGAGAAGGGGGAGGGAGGGAGAGATAAGGAGAAAGAGAGATAGAGAGGGAGAGAGAGGGAGAGAGAGAGAGGAGGGGGAGTGGGAGAGGGAGAAGGAGAGAGAAAGAAAGAGAACAGAGAAAGAAAGAAGGAGAGAGACAGATAGGGATAGAGATGGAGAGGGAGAGAGGAGGAGAAAGAGAGATAGAGAGAACTGCCTTCAATCTCTTCTTGGATCAGGGGATAAATGGACTTCTGAATAAATTCAGGATGAACACTGACATTGGCTTCTTCTGAAGAAAGAGGAGAGAATCTCAGATTCCCCACCTCAGCCCCACTCTCTCTCTTCTCAGCTGCTTTCCTCGGCCAGACCAGTGGTGGGTTTTAAAATTTTTTACTACCGGTTCTGTGGGTGTGGCTTGGTGGGCATGGCATGGTGGGCGTGCCCTCCCCAATCCCTCCCCAATCCAGGGGAAGGTTACTGCAGAATCCCCATTTCCTCCCGATCAATTGGGGCTTCAGGTGGCAATCACGCGCAAAGCACGTGCACGAAGAGAACCGGTAGTAAACAAAGCAAAAACTATCAAGCCCATTCAACCCTTCAACACCCAGACATTATCTCGGTGGTTTCGAGCTTCTAATAAGGAACGGCTCCTGTGCGCTTTTAAGGCTCAAGACCAGAAGTGGTGAAACCACGTTGAAACCCCCCCCCCCATGAATCTGAATCTCCATCAAGTCAGCTTCTTCGTGCCGTACAGACATCCCACTTACCTCCACGGAGTAAGACATTTCCTCGTTGCTGTTGTCATTGATCTTCTCAAAAAGCTCTTCGCAAAGCTAGAAAAAAAAATGGAGAAGCATCAAGCTATAGTTATGCAGAAAGGAGACCTAGGATATTAGGTGGGGTTTTTTTTGGTTTTTTAAAAAGGTTTTATTGTTTTATTACTACACATTATGACAAACACATCACATACAACATATAAATATATCCTCTTTTTAACAAATGTTTCTTTGTGGTCTGCTTTCCACTGTGACTTTCCTCTCCCCTTGTCTCTCATATTGTTTCATTTTCTTCATTCTCCCCTATTTGATTGATTACAATGTATTTTCTAATCCTAATAGGAGACCTAGGATATTAGTAACAGTAACAGAGTTGGAGGTCATCTAGTCCAACCCACTACTCCCGCAGGAGACCTGTACTAGGGATTCGAACTGCTGAACTGCCGACCTTTCTGATCGACAAGCTCAGTGTCTTAGCCACTGAGCCACCTAGTCAGGCTCAGTTGGTCAGCTAGTTGGTCAGCTAGTTCTAGTTGGGCTAGAAGAATGCCACCTCAGCCACACACACACACACACCGCTCCAAAATGCACTGACAGGTTCCTAGTTTAGCGCCACCGGCCAGTCAAAATTCATTAGAGGTAAGCCTATTGGCACATTGCATAGTAGTTTCCAAGTGGGAAGGCAGCTTGAGTAAAAAAAGGAGGAAACGGGCCTTCAAAACTCAAATATGTAAGAGTGCAAGCCGCCAAGAATCGCCTCAGCGAAATAGGTGGCATACAAGTCTAATAATAAAACAATAAAAATAAAGATCATTGAAATTAGGACATTTGGGTTGCACCTCCAAATGGTAATGATTACAGAATTAACAGAGTTGGAAGGGACCTTAGAGGTCTTCTAGTCCAACCCCTGCTAAGGTAGGAAGCCCTATCCCATTTCAGACAAACGGTTGTCCAATCTCTTCTTTAAAAATTCCAGTGTTGGAGCATTATGCGAAATCTTGTCTATTCTGGCATAAAGCATTAACACTGCTACTTATTTTTAAAAGAATCCTTTGTATTTCTACAATAGCTCCACTATTTCGTAGTTTCTCGGGTTCCCCATTTCTTCCTTATCCCCTTCTTGTACTCGTCAAAGAATGAAGAAATTCCTTTTCTTTGCAAAGCTTTCAAAGTCCAGAACTAGGAATCCTAATTTTATATCAACATAAATACAACGAACCAAAAGAAACGGCTTTGAAAAATATTTGCCGTGGCTTCCTTTCTTACAAATGCTGTGCAGAAACTTGAGTGAGCAAAAGATCAAAGAAGATCATGTCAATCAAAACACCACAGTCTACAGATTTCAATAAAGGTAAGACAGTTGTATCTAGATAAGCCAGAGTGGGTCATTTCAATCTGTATGACCAGTTTTTGTTCAGCACACACCCAAAACACAAGTTTGTTCTGTTTTCAAGCGGAATCACTGACGTTAAGATCACTATGGTGTGATCAAGTGTAGAAAATCAGAATTTTTTCAGACTCTTATGTTTTGGGATACAATAGTTGATTTACAATTCGTGACCCCCAGGAGCGCTGAGCTGCGTGGGCGTATCAGCGCCTCTCAGCTGGCAAGCGGTTGAGCATGGCGGCGGCACTGCGGTGGCGTTTTCAGCTGAGACTGAAGTGGCCAGCACGCAATAATTCAGAAAGAGTTTTAAGAAAGAGTTTTAAGAAAGAGTTTTAAGAAACTGAGTTCCAATGAGACAGGAATGGTTGCAAGTTGAAGAGAAACTGCAAATATGTCTCGTCAGATTGACTAAGTCAAATAAACTGGAGTTGACGGAGGCATATGGAGGCGTGGCCAAAAACATCATGACTCAGTCTCCAGCAGATCAACTGTATCAACCCATTCCTGACCCACTCCGCAGCCTATAGGGAGAATCACTGACATTAAGATCACTATGGTGTGATGAAGTGTAGAAAATCGGAATTTTTTCTAACTCTATGTTTTTGGGTACAATAGTTGATTTGCAATTCGTGACCTGCAGAAATAGCTGCTGAAACCAATTTAGGACTGAGCCCTCACTCAGGGCTCAATTTAATTTCGGATTCTTTGACTTCCTCCCCCCCACCAGAGAACCCTCATCTTAAACACCTGGCTAGCATTTCATCTAATCCATTCACTAGAACTAAGCCCTGATCAGATTTCTCCTTCGTAGGTTTTATCGGATGGCTGACACACTTTCAGACACAGGGCCAACCATTTTTGCTCCTAGTCCTACAGCGGAAAGATTATTCGGATCAACTATTCACAAAAACAGTTACACGAGCTTAGCCTTTGCTCTTCCAACCTCCCTTATGTTTTTTTTTTCCAACCAACTCAGCATTACAGACTGGAAAATACTGTCTCTCCGTGCCAAAATGGCCCTACCTTTTGAAATTATTTTAAGAAAGCAGATGGACAAAAGACAAAAAGCATCTGAAGAAGCCTGCCATTTCAATGTTTTCTTCAAAGTGCGCACAATATATCCCAACTTCACTAAGAAGTGCAAAGTAATAAACAAATAGAACAGAAAAACAGTTGCAAAGGCAACAAAAAACGAAATCCAGAGTAGTTGGATACCACTTTTCTGACCTAAGCATAGTTCAGAGACCACATTTTAAGCAGGAAAAGGCATTCAAGACTCACAACTAACCACCAAATTGCCACAAACGCACAATCTGGAAGGAAATGGAAAGTAGCAGAAGTATTTTTTAATTTATCTATTAAATATATATGCTGCCCCTTCTCATAACGCAGAGGCAACCTGCAGAGGTTTGCAGAAGGGAAAAGCTGGGATATCCTCCAAGCTTTTGAAAGGCTGATGCAAAAAAAAAAAAAAACAGAATATTTGCAAAATAAGCAAAGATCCAATTTACCTGTGGGATGATCCCTGCCTGGTTCTCCTCCTGTTTCCCCATCATGGTGTAAGATTTTCCGGCTCCAGTTTGGCCATATGCAAAGATACAGACGTTGTAGCCTTCAAAGGCATGGAGCAGCATTTCTTTCCCGATGTCATTGTAGACGCGATTTTGAGAGGCGAAGCAAGGATCCTCGGACTGCGGGGATTTAAGAAAAGATAACCTTTACCCTCGCTTTTCTCTGAACACATTGGCACACATTAAAAAAATGAAATTCTGATGCCCAGTCTTAAAAGAGGAGGGAGGGAGGCGGGGGGGGGAGAATCTGGATTGATGCCTTGTCCTTTGACAACTAGATTCTGTAATAGCTTTGTACCATAAAGCACTGGTCCTCAATTATGGCCCGCGGGCCGAATACGGCCCGCTGAAGCCATTAATCTGGCCCACGCGGGACCACAAGGCTGCCCTGCCCACAACACCCCACCTACCAGCCCGCCCTCACCCGCCTTTGGCCAGGGAGGCCAAAAACGGGACGTGTGGAGGCCTCAGGAGGCCAAAAAGAGGCCCATTTTTTTGCCTCCCCAGCCAAGGGGGAGGGGAGGGAGAGAGACACACACATACACACCCACAAACAGAAGTTCCTCATACACACCCCAAGGCAGCCACATCCCTTCCACCCCCAGGAACATAACAAATTAAAGTTTTAATTGGTGTGTATTGTTTGGACTGCTAAGTTGGTAATGCTCACCCAGTCACATGACCACCTAGCCACACCCACCCAGCTGGTCCGCCCCCCCCACAGTCTGAGGGACCATGAATTGCCCCCCCCCCCGGTTTAAAAATTTTGAGGACCCCTGCCATAAAGTATCAACCTTGTTAACTGTCAAGACTTGATGAAGGAAGAGGTGATAACAGAAGACAAGCCGTGAAATTACTATGGTATAACCACATTTTGCTATTTCTATGTGTACTAGAGGGTGCAAATTCCTAATATCAAACCCTTACAAATGCCTCCGCTGAGGGGAGAATCAAGTGCTTCTGAGTTTATTACCAAAGGGGGTTCTCCAATTCCCAATCTTTCCCTATTACTATTGCTGGAGTACTCTGTGAGCTACAGAAGGTTATTGCCAGCTTAAAGAAGTGCCAGTCCCACCCACCTATTATTGCCAACCTTTCAAGCGGGACTTAATTGAAAAATATCAAGGGACAGAAACTGGCGCCTGAGCCAGACAACCCAGTACAAATGGCGGCTGTGCTTTACCAGCTTTACCAAGGAAAAATAAAAAGCAGACAAAAGGCTTTAAGAAGGCAAAGCAAGCTCAAAAAAGCAAATGGGGGGGGGGGGAAGGGGGGGGGGGGAAAGTGCCTTTTTAAAAATAAATAAATAAATAAAGCCTTCAAGCCGGACGTAATTTGGAGCAACAGCTGACCAGGTTTTTCCCCACCGAAGGAATAAATGAAGCAGAATGTTTCCAAACAAGGTGATCGCTCAACCGTGCTTTGTATGGAAAAATCAACATTTTTTACTTATTTAACAGGAGAAAGCAGCGAGGAAAAAGAAGCGGGGGACTTTAGAGGGCTGGGCATGGAATTTCAAGGGGACTGAGGAAGGAAAGGACTCTCTGTAAGTCCAGCAATGCCCTTAATAAACATCAGATTTTCAAATCCCCTGCTAAAGTTAATATTGTTGTTTCTTTCTTGCATTGGTGATTTTGAGACAATAGGCATAACTAAGTAGCTACATTATCTGGCATTAGATGCAGACGTCCACCGAATCATCCTGGAAACAGACAAAGTGTCAGGGTTCCAAGGAACACCCCCAAAGAAAAGGAGACTCCGAGGCTTGAAGTTCCTCAAAAGTTCCATTTTATTAGAGATGTCATATTGGCACATCCGGGAAAACCCGAATCTGAAAGCTTCCAGGTTTTCCCCACCCGAAGGAAAGTCCAAGTCCCTTCTCCTACACCCACATGTCCATCACGTGGTCCAATCAAAGCACCGTCCCAACTGGAGATGCCTCCCAGCCACACCCCTCCAGGTGCAGGGCAAGATGTCCTTGACTCTCTGAGAAAGGAATGTGATTATTACTATAGATCCCCCCCTGCTCCATGCAATCCCAACTCCCAGTTTCCCACAGCAGTAAATGTGGCAGGCCTGAAGATCCAAGGTAAAAGACGGCTTCCAGGCCTGACACAAAGCTCCCTTAACAAGCACAAAAGAAGTTGGACACGCTGCTTTAAAGGGTGGGATTGCCCGCTATTGGGAGTTGTGTATTGGAAAGTTGTCTAGGCAAAAAAAAACAACAACCACCCATCTAAACACTGTTTTCAAAACTCAAGTTTCAAGGGAAGATACTTAAGCTTCATGTCTCCCATTGTCTGGGATGCTAGTTTTAAGAATATTTCCAAAAGACTTGGGGGGGGGGGAAGGAAAAGGATACTCTACCTAACAAGGCTGCCCATTTCCTCTGTGAGCCATTCATGAGCAAATATATTTCTTGTGCAGTAGCTTACTTTATCTCAAAGGCAACATATGGGTGTCTCCGAGATGGTTTCGCTGCAATCTTTTCCTGATTTCTTTTGTTTTCTGGGAAAACTTATATGGGAAACTCCTACTTTGTTTAATTTAAAGAAAACAGCATGTGGGTTCTGCGGAGATTTAACCTTTTTATCTGTATGCAAGCTAAAAATATTTAGTTGCCTGCTCTATCCAATGCACAGATTTTTGCTTTCTGGATAAATCACAGGGCCCAAAGCGCTGTGAATAGGAAGATCTATTTTTTTCATTGTTTTGATCTTTGGAGAACAACTGATGGCGATACCTCAAAATCCAACAATTGCTGGAAGTCAGTAAAATCTCAGCTGTAGCTTCCCACAAGGGATATGGGGGATTCAGCGCCTGGTTGTCAGTCTGCGTTCATGGTAAGCTAAGAAACTGAAAACTCATCTTTTACGGAGTTATAAACATTCCGAGAGGAAGTTTATACATAGACTCCTACATGGAAATTGTTTGCTGTTCAAATTCCTCCTCCGAGCTGCTTGGGCTAATCCTCTCTCTCTGCAAAGCCATCCCTGGACACACTTATACCTCCGATGAAATTTAATATTTCTGGAAAATGCATTTAGATCAAGAGGAACCTTGGCTCTTAAACAGCTAAAAGAGCAATACCATCAGAGGAGAAAAACAGCTGTGGGCTGCAGGGCTGAAAAGAGAGAAATATCCCACCCATCAGCTACATCGGCTTGTATATCACACTTTCGGGAGGAACCTGGGTTCAAGACAAACCAGCATTCTTACCGAGGTATGGGACCAGTACGAGTAGTCAAAGCTGAAGGATTTGGGCGCTTCTTTAGGATTCTTTGGATTCAGGATACCTGAAAGAAACAAACACGCACATTTACCATCCAAGAACTCTGGGGAACAAGCAGGGCAGGAAATGTACAATACAGTGGTGAAATCCAATTTTTTTTACTACTGGTTCTGTGGGCGTGGCTTGGTGGGCGTGGCAGGGGAAGGATACTGCAAAATCTCCATTCCCTCCCCACTCCTGGGGGAAGGATATTGCAAAATCCCCATTCCCACCCCTTTCTGGGACCAGTCAGAGGTGGTATTTGCCGGTTCTCTGAACTACTCAAAATTTCCACTACTGGTTCTCCAGAACCTGTCAGAACCTGCTGGATTTCACCCCTGGTACAATTCCTATCTTCTACTGATTTCTTTACTAAGCTTGCCTTCCAAACCGTGACTCATGAAAGATATTTCTATTACAAATGTGAGGGGCAAAAATATCATACACGGAAGACGTTACCTAGCTGGGTATTGCAACGCCTGTAAGAAAATAACCAAGTTCAGCGAGCGCCAAGAACTATCATAAACAACATTAATGCTATCCTCAAGAAAGCCACCTTTGTTTGAGTTGGGGGTTATATAAATAAATCAAATAAATAGAACCAGTATTGCTTGGTAGATTTCTCAACTGCTAAATAATCTTATCTTGAATCCTGTGATTTGTTAATTTTATTTCATTTTATTAGCCATTCTATGAGCTTGAGTTTCATATTGGTTCTTGTAATCCTGTTACAAATTTTGAAATGCTGATGAGCTATTCAGTAACTGAATTCATGGATATTTATTTATAAGACTTATATGGCCACTCATATTAAGAAGTACAACTCCAGGTGGCTCACAACCGCAATAAACTCCCCCCCAAATAATAATAATAATAATATAATACAACCAAACGCAGCACAAAAGTCACTGGAATGTTTGGAAAAATCAAAAGCATTAAAAAAGAGAGACCTCACTAGAAAACAGATACTATTGCCGATGACACAAGCATAAATTTACAAGAACTCAAAGAAGCAGTTACCAACATTCTCGGTCTTGAAGGTATTTTATCAGTTATTCAGAAGCTGCCGAACAATGATGAATCAAATTAAATTAGAGACATATGGGGGGCGGGGACATTTGACAAAACAGATTTACAAGGCAGCAGATAAGCATTTTCTAGAGTGTGCCAAAGGGAGTCAGAATTTAAAAAAAAAAAAAAATCCACAGAAAGCTGGGAGACAGATAAGATGTCAAAATGTAGGCCATCCTACCAAGAATTTCTGGATTGGGGAATTCTTCTTTAAACTATAATAGAATAGAATAGAATTCTTTATTGGCCAAGTGCGATTGGACACACAAGGAATTTGTCTTTGGTGTATATGCTCTCAGTGTACATAAGGAGAATAAAATACATTCATCAAGAATAAAAAGATACAACCCTTAGTGATAGTCAAGGTTACTAATAAGCTATCAAATCGTATTAGGAAAAATAAAAACAATACAAATTGAAAGATACAAGCAACATGGTTATAGTGATAAGTGGGAAGAGAGAGATACTAGTAAGGAAGATAAGAATAATATTAATAATACAGTCTTAGTAAATTATTTGACAGTGTTGTGGGAATTAGTTGTTAAGCAGAGTGATGGCATTCGGGAAAAAACTGTCCTTGTGTCTAGTTGTTTTGGTGTGCAGAGCCTTATAGCATCGTTTTGAGGATAGAAGTTGAAACAATTTATGTCCAGGATGTGAAGGGTCTGTAGATATTTTCACAGGTCTTTCCCCTCCATCGGAGCCCCACAAAAAAACTGGCACACATTTAAAAAAAAAAAAAAAAAACTGGCACACATCAGTAACACAAAGTTCAAGGGCTCCTGGGAAGTTCACAGCAGGGCATTTAAACCTATTTGGAAATGCATGTTATAATACGGAGATAAAAAGCTCCTGAATTATGGATAGGTTTTCAGAAGCTCAACATCCTATGGAAGAACCAGAGTCGGCAATAAAAAGGGCCTGAGGAAGAAACTAAAAATACACAAGGGTAGAGTATTAAAACGTTCACAGAAATGATATCTTTTTAAAGAGACAGGGAGATCCATCGGCAAATGCTCTCCCCGCCTTCGTAAGGTCTCCAAAAATATATTTCTTTGTTTTGCCTTTCAATCTATTGTCATGTTTCTAAGCTGCCCGATTGAACGGACTTTCAACGCAGCAGATTCACAACATAAAAATAAAGGTTTCTGCCATGAAAAAATTACGTATCAAGGTTGTGGGGGAAAAATAAGCTTAGAGGTGGCTAAACTTATATTTTCCCCCCCACAACATTGATATGTAAGCTCACTGTCCAACTACGAAAGAGGAAACAGACACGGAAAAAGGCTTAGCAAAAGTTTATGGAATTCACATTACTAATTTCTCTCATTTATATCCTGTGGAAAGTTGGCCAAAATTTCCAGGTGACTTCCTGAACTTTTCGGGCAACATGGAGCCATTTTTATCATTGAATCTGATGTCATCTTCAAATAATCTATGAACCTGACCGCTGATGGTAAAAACACACCATGGCTTAAAAACGGGGGTTCCCAGCCCTGGGTCCATGGATCGGCACTGGTCTGCGGCATGCCAGGAACTGGGCCACACAAACAAGCGAAGCCCCATCCGTGGGATGCAGGCAGCATGTGAAACCACGGTCCCTCCAGTCCACAGGAAAACCTCTTCCCATGGAATAGGTCCCTGGTGCCCAAAAGGATTTGGGGACCACTGTCTTAAAATCAGGGGTGAAATCCAGCAGGTTCTGAAAGGTTCTGGAGAACCGGTAGCGGAAATTTTGAGTAGTTCAGAGAACTGGCAAATACCACCTCTGGCTGGCCCCAGAGTGGGGTGGGAATGGGGATTTTGCAATATCCTTCCCCCAGAAGTGGGTTGGGAATGGAGATTTTGCAGTATCCTTCCCCTGGAATGGGGTAGAATGGAGACTTTGCAGTATGCTTCCCCTGCCATGCCCACCAAGCCACGCCCACAGAACCGGTCGTAAAAAAAAAATTGAATTCCACCACTGCTTAAAAGAATGTATGAACGCACCTCTGTGTTCTGAAACAAAACACTTTTTAACAAGCTTTCAATTTCTGGCTTGTTTCACTAAACAATATAAGGGATGTCCAAGGCACTGAATTTTTCATGTTCTCTCTCATTCTGTCCTGCTTAGTATGTGAGGTGCGTCCTGAAACAGCAACAAAATCCGAAATGCTCCCTAATCTTTGACCGTTATCTGCTGCTTTTTTTTTTTTTTTTTGCAAGCACTCCCAATACCTTGCTACTAGTCACTACTTGGCCATTTTTAAATTTTCCACTGCTGCTCTATTCCAGAACAGACCTTCCATCCAAGGCAATGGAATGGGAACAGGATCCACTCGCGGCCTACAAATAGCAACCGTTGCTATCGGGCCCGCCTAAATTTGGCGATTCCGCCCTGAATGGAGTCCTAATGCTGGGTCCTTAATTTATGAATGCTGACAACCAGGCGAAGGCCAAGATTAATATCACTTACACAAGGGCTACAGGAGGGGAAGAGAGAGAGAGAGAGAGAGATGTTGCTTTTGATAGCAACAGGGAGATTAACGGCAAAGCAAAGCAAACTGGCAATCCAGGGATTCTCGCACAGCAAAAGTCTCAACCCAAAAAATTACAAGGGAGATGGTTAAGAGCGAGGAAGGGAGCAGTCTGACTTTGAAAGCTGCAAATGGAATACCACAAGAGCTTGTTGCAAGTCAACAGAACCTCTTATGCCACCAGGCTTCAAATGTTGGGCTTGGACAACTTAGAACTACGCCGTCTTCGGTCTGACCTAAGCGTGGTACACAAAATTATCTGCTACAACGTCCTACCTGTCAATGACTACTTCAGCTTCAACATCAACAAACTGATAGATACAAACTCAAGGTAAACTGCTCCAAACTTGATTGCAGAAAATACGACTTCAGCAACAAGAGTGGTCAATGCCTGGAATGCACTACCTGATTCTGTGGTTCCTTCCGCAAACCCCCAAAATTTTAACCTTAGACGGGCTACTGTTGACCTCACCCCATTCCTAAGAGGTCTGTAAGCGGCGTGCATAAGCGCACCAACGTGCCTTCCGTCCCTGTCCTACTGTCCCCATTTATCCGTATCCATTTCCTGTATTCATAATCGTGTTTATACTTATATCTGTTATCTAGTACATGCTTGACAAATAAATAAAAATTTAAAAATTAAAAAAAAACCAATTTCAAACAAGATCAGCATCGCACCCATACATTCATCTGTGAAGCCGTGATGGCGTTCCTTGAGGTTGAAGGATTATATATTAATAGGGGCGCTTTCTAAAAAAGCAGTGACTTGATTCCATTCAGAGCCCAGCGGTTCCCACTTTGTGCATTTCTATGGCAACAGCTTCATCTCATTTCATTGAGAAAAGAAGATTCAAACCATAGCATGTTATCCGGATGAATTCGCTGGCTTGCATGTTAGGAACAGGGACATTTTAGGGGCTCCGAGCTGCCTTGTTGGGGTTTGTAGGATGGAAAGAAGGGCTTTATGACAAAGGTAGTATAGATGCCCTTATATAAGTGACATTAATTTTGGCCAGCATTCGTAAGAACCCAACATACAACTCCGTTCAGGGAGGCACTGTCAATTAAGGAGCCATGGCAGCGTAGTGGTTAGAATACAGTATCGCAGGCTAACTCTGTCCATAGCCAGGAGTTTGATCCTGACTGGCTCAAGGTTGACTCAGTCTTCCATCCTTCCATGTTTGGTAAAATAAGGACCCAGATTGTTGGGGGCGAGAGGCTGACTCTGTAAACTGCTTAGGGAGAGCTATAGAGCACTGTGAAGCGGTATATAAGTCCAAGGGCTGTTGCTACAAGATCCCTGGTGGTGCGTTGGTTAGAATGCAGTATTTCAGGCTAATTTTGCTCACTGCTATGAGTTCGATTCTGACCGGCTCAAGGTTGACTCAGCCTTCCATCCTTCCGTGTTTGATAAAATGAAGATCCAGATTGTTGGGGG